TAAGTAATATTCTGACTTTCAGACTCTTTTACGGAATGGTTGTACGTTTTGTGCTGCACAAAGAGTCAATCAGTTTAATTTTGGCCATTACAAGTAGTGGGTCATTGATGTAGACAAATGCTCATGTACCTGTTACACCTCATTTTATGTATGTTATAACATTTACCATAGGAAAAAAAAGATGTCAGTCAGTCACTCAATAATGTCTGACAGTGAAGTCTAGAAGGTAAACAGGTTTCCTTGCATAATTTGAATGCTAGGAAACTGATAATTTTTAAATTTCAGAGACACAGGCTGCAAAAGGGACATACATGTACATGTACATGTAGAATATTGTTAAGCCATGATGCTTGCTATCTAACTTGTTTCATTGTAGATGATCATGATATGCAGCTTGCTGGTATCTCCTTGATATGAGTAGTAAATCTTTTTGGATTGACGTAGACTTCATGAACATGCATGTGCATCTCCTTCTTGCATCCATGTCCTGGCTGGTATAGATTACAGCTAACTTGGTATGACGTCTATGGCCTAGTAAACAACCAGGGTCAACATTTGCCCCAACCAAACACTCCAATTTGGGAGACCTACATGGACCTCATTCTCACTCGCTTCCTTGACCGATTTACTCTAAATCGGTCTAATGGTGAGAGAGAACTCTCAACCGTGCCAAGAAGCAATCTTCTGGACCGAACAAAAGATCACATCCTGATGTGGTCTTCTAGCTGGACCGGTTTGCATCTGAGACCGCTCAAGACCAATCTAGCGTGCAGTGTGAATCCAAACCGTGCCAGGAAGCATACTTCAACCGAGAGAAGGTGATAGAAGGAAGATCAAAGAATAAAATATAAGGAAAGGAAGGAAGAGAAACTGAAATAATGATAAAAACAAAGAACAACATAAAAGAAGGTGATAGAAGGGAAAAACAATAATAATATACAGTGTAAGGAAAGGTAGACAGTGATAGAATTATGAAAACAAAGAACATAAGAAAAGGCGATAGAAGGAAGAAACAAAGGATAGCATAACAAAATGATAGGAAGAAAAATGATAGAATAATAAGAACAAAGAACAACATCAGAGAATGTTATAGAAGGAAGAAAGAATAACATAAGGAAAGGAAGGAAGAGAAAATTATAGAAGGAAACAAAGAATAGCATGAGGATAGATAAGAATAAATGAAGAAGTGAAATAAGGAAAAACTAAGACTAATATCACTAAGGAAAGACAGAAATAGAAAATAATAAATAATGGAAAGATAGAAGAGAAGATGAAAGATGGAAAAACAAAGAACAACTTACATGTAAGACAAACAGAAAGACAAAATGATAGAAGGAAAATAAAGAATAACATGAGGATAGATAGAAAGAAAAAATGATAGAATGATAAACAATATAGAATATATCATGAGAGATGAAAGAAGGAAAAGCAAAGAATAACATTGGAAAAAATAGAAAGAGAAGGTGATAGAATGGTAAAGATAAAGAATTAGAAAGGGAAAGATATTGAAAGAAAAAAAAAGTAATTTTGTGATGGTAACAGGCCGCTGTACATACATTTTGATTACGTAGGAAAATGACCCGTGCTATCATAGCAACCGTTCCTGTTGCTTTGAAATAATATATCTCATCAGGGTCAAAATTATGATGAGTGTGAACTCAAACAAGCTGTACCTCTGGAGCGATTCAGTGGATCGGTCTAGCATAGATCGTTCAAGTAAAGTGAGTGAAAATGGGGTCCTAGTGTTTGTCCAGTTCTTGATCCAAATTCATGAATCTGTTTCCCCAAGGGCAAATCCATGGAAATTTGCTATAATACTCCGTGTCCACACACATGTTTTTCTGTGATTAGGCGTGATTATTCATACCGTTTCGGGATAGTTATATCGTATCGGGATAGTTTTACAATGAAATTGTGTGTGTGGACGCTTACTAACGATACGTCGTATAACGAAATGATGCCCAAACATGCGTTTCGTTATACAACGTATAAAGAATCACGCCTAATCACGCCTTATCACGGAATCTGTTGTGTGTGGACATAACTAGTATAACTAGTCAAACTAGAACGGTATAACTGGGCGGGGCTTAACATGACCTTGCGCGAAAGGAGACCTGACCTCTCATTTCTGCTTCCATTTCATGACCACAGTAGCAAACTGCGTACCTATCGACATTTCACTGTAGAGTTTCGTGATTACTTTCTTTTGTGTGTGGACACCCTGGAATTTATACAATGACTCTTCATACGACGTTTTGTTATAGAGTTTTGGGATAAAAAAAATTGTGTGTAGACACGCTGATAGTTGTATTGTTGGAGGGGGCTCTGAATGAAAGGAAATTAACTAGGATGCTCTCTTTGTCAAAATGCATTTCTTTCAAGGGAATAATCATGAATTTACCTCAAGAAATTGCTTTACCTGTAACTCATTTTGTTGCAATTTATTTGCTTTTGTTCAAGTTCAACTGCATGTACTTATTCAATATGTCTCATTTATTGTCATTTAATGATCAGTTTCCACGAAACATTACTAAAAAAAGTTTAATCAATTAGGTTCTGTCAATCCACATATGATGCATTTCCTTGATCCTGTTGGCTATTGATCATTTAGTTAGAATTTATTGAAATAAAAATGAAATTCTCTTCTGGATTGCCAAAAGTTTGTCTAGTTGACAATGACCCTGGACAACTTAATAATTTGTTTTCAATATTTCTATGCAAAGCAAATAGTTATTAAAAGGATGTTATTTTTATGAAGAGAATTTAAATTGTACATCACCCTTACTCTTCTTGATTAAAAATACTGTGAAAACATTCACCATATCTCTGCATTATTCCATAATCATGAACATGTAGCATGATGTTTATTTGTCTTTCAAAGTTTCATGCTTTGTGAGAAGAAAAGCATCTGTAGGACCCTGAAAAAGCCCACTGATTTGTATTATGACGTCATTGTGGGCTTGTTTTGACGCACTTTGCTCATACCAGTGGCTTAGTAAACTGGTCAATCCCACATGTAGTTAAACATGTGGTTGAAATCTGTGAAGGACAGAGGATAGCTAGAGTCCAAATTCCACCTTTTTGTAAGCCTCTTTCATTTTGTATAGTATTAATATTTGTTCTTTCTTTTTAATACTTTGCAATGTTTGGTATGAGGAAATACAGCTCATTGTGGTTGTAAAATTACTTACGTAAACCTATTCATTTTTTGGTTAATAACCATTATTGCTTTTGTGTGTATCATTTTGTTGAAACTTGCCTAGTTATGAGTAATGCTTGTAATTGTGATTCAGTCTGCTCTCAGCCTGCCACAGCTATTTGCAATGTTTTGAAGCGTTTATCAAACATTCATAAATTAGTTGATTATTTGAATATTCGGCTTTTTACTTTTCTCCATTATATTTTGCAACACAATGAGATTAAAATACTCTTTCTATTTCCTGTATTTACATATGTGTGAACTTTCCGGCTTTTTACTTTTCTCCATTATATCTTGCACCATAACAAGATTGAAATGCTCTTTCTATTTCATGTATTTACATTCATATGTGTGAACTTTATATTCGGTTTCAATAAATCAGAATACCTTGCTAAATGCCTGTTATGTTAGCGCTTAGAGACTTCGGTGGTAAACGCTTTATAAAGCACCGTTTTTATGCCTCCGTTACGAAGTAGCCGGAGGCATTATGTTTTCGGGTTGTCCGTACATGTACTTCTGTACGTATGTCCGTACGTCACTTTCTCGTGATCGCGTTACCGGGTCACAGGGCTCATTATGTATGCAAAAATAGCTTGTGATCGCATTATCTCAAGAACCGGCTGATGGATTCCTACCAAACTTAGGTCATGTATGTATCTTGCAGAGCCAATGAATTGATTAGATTTTGGGGCCATGAGGTCATAGGTCAAAGGTCACAGGGCTCATTATGTATGCAAAAATAGCTTGTGATCACATCATAACAACAGAAGGACAGTTTACCATGAAACTCAGGACATGTATGTATATTGCTGAGGCAATGAACTGATTAGATTTTGGGGTCATGCGGTCAAGGTCAAAGGTCATGGGGCTCCTTATGTACGCAAAAATAGCTTGTGATTGCATTATCATTAGAACCGTTGGATGGATTACCATCAAACTCAAGACATGTATGTATCTTGCATTTGGGGTTATGAGGTCAAAGATCAAAGGGTCATACATGTATATGAGAAATAGCTTGTAATCACGATATTCTGAGAACCTATTAATGGATCACAACCAAACTTGAATTTGAAAAAATTTCTTCCATTTTGGTTTGTAAAATTGCTCTATGACGGAGGCATCACTTTCGACTGCGCGCAGTCGAAGTTTCATCTAGTTATTATTATTATTATTATTTATGTTCAATGTACAATGATAATTCAGACATAAATGATCATAAGTAACAATTTCTTTTGCAATCTGTCAGCATGTTTTAAGCTGTTCTATTAAAGGTTGCATTTATTGACCAAATTTTTGGCTAGAATCAGGTTTCTCAAACGCCTTTCAGGCAAATTTAGAAGGTGATAAACGCAAAGCCTTTTTTAAAGGTCTTTAGATATGGGCATATCTAAAGACGCAAAAAGGTGTGTTTTGAATGTGACATACAGTTTTGAACCCCACATACAAACCGGACCACCCAGGTTAAGGGTTCGGAGGCTAGCGCGCCATGTGTTGTGTACAAGCATGTGTGTGTAGTTGACCTCCGAGAAACTGTCTGCTTCCCGGGTCAAAACAGCTGCGCAGACACAAGGCCTTTATTTTGAATCGAGAAGAGACAATAAACGCGACATCCCGCAAATCACTTTCGTATAGTGGGGTTCGATAGTGGGGTATGATAGTGGGGTACGATATGTACATATCTAGTGGCAAGACCCAATAAACGCGCCCAAAGACTAAGCAAGGAGGTGTAATAACTCCTTGGACTAAGGTCATTTAATCTGTGGTTTACTCAATTTGATGTGTTTTTCTTCCTCCTTCACAGGCCGGCAATGTTTACGTTCGTGATCAATGGTTGCATTCCCTCCTGTGGAAGAGAGCTATACACAGATTCAAGAAACTAATATGTAACACCACTAAGCCTGAGGTCTTCATGCAAGAAATATCAGTAAGTACAACCCCTTTTGTTAATAAATAATAATAAATTGAGATCGCCATAGCACTTAAGATGAAAAATACCTTCTCTTAAAGCACTTTACAGATATACCAAGTCATCAGATTCATTCACGCACAGTATGCACCATCTCCACTCCCTGGATAGTAACTCTATCATAATCACTGTGAGGGTATGTAGTTACTATCAAAAAGTATTTCATCATCCTACCAGGTTCCTACTTCTCTCCTTTGAATGGAGTAGCAAATGTAGATTAATGCCTTGCCAACAGTGAGAGGCAACAGCTATGCTTAGAATATTAAAAGCAGTTGCTATATCTTTTATATACCGAATTCACAAATAAATCTACAAGAATTCTTACCTTATCCTTAAAACATCACAGAAAATCTGAGACACTGTCTGTAAATATTCCCTGGAAAGTTGCCTGACAATCGCAGACAAAAAGCACTGTAAGGTATCTGCGCCCGCACAAAGAAACTTTTTACACGTAAACCAATTGAGATCTCAGCGAAATGTATTTATGTTACCCATTACCCGGAGCAACGGGCATCTTAAAAAAAAATTATGACCGGTAGGCGGCCTCTTTTCAAAGACTATTGACCAGTAGGCGGGCATGGCTAAAATCACGACTCCAATTTCGACCAATTAGATGACTAGATTTATTCAACATAAAGAGAGGTATATAAACAACTTTACACCGCCCCCTCTTTCCCATTGCATATGGGTTTATTATCAGTTTAAGTTAGTTTTGATAAACAGACTGACTGTCAGCCTTTTTACACACAGCTAAAATTCATCGTATCTAGAGATGATTAGTATAAACGTGTTTAACTCAACAGTTATAAACATGTTTATATAAAATTTTCCCTGTGTGAACATCGTTTATACGATGTTGGGATAGATACGAAGTCGCGATTCATACGCCCCTAAAAGCAGGCTGCAGATACGAAGTTCGTATCTAGAGAGCTTGACATTTTGTGTGTGAAAGGTTATTCGTGTTTAAATGCGTTTCAGACGTGTTTAAACTGGATGGAGCGTGCGCTTTGATTGATATGACATGACCTTCAATGCGCAATGGCACTACTGCGCATTTTACGAGCAGTAGTTAATCACGAAACGATTAAAGATCGTACCGAAATTGAATGATGTTGTATGTTCAGGTGATTAGTTTAAAACCCTTTAAACTAATCATGTTTATAGAATTTTAGCCATGTGTGAAAAGGCTGTGTGTTGTGGACTGAGGTTTCCAGTTTCACTCAGACTTGTAAAATACATTTTTATTTAGAATGAGCTTACTCCCATTCTTGGTTTTAACTAATTCAGCAAATTGTTTTTCACTGTATATCATATGTCTAATTCAGCTCGAAATTGATTCATATTGTAGTGTGTTTTTTTAAGTTATAAAGACGAATGTAGATATAGATACATATTATCCACACCATCAACTTGTAATTTTTAGCACTACAAAAAAGGACAACGAAACCCTAGCCCTACAAGGGCTGGTATTATACAGTTATTTTTAATAATATTTTCACTTTAAAATTCTTCTGTATATATCTATTGTTGTATGGGAAGCCAAGGTAGATGAATTCCTACCTATCTTGTCAATCAATGATAATATTAGTATAGAGCAGCCTATACTTCCTTGCATTGGTTGCTTCTAGACTCTTTCTTGAAAGGGAAGTGGTATTTGTTTTGAAAAGGAATATTACCTATTCCTTCCTGACAGGAATCTGAAGACATTTTAAGGTCATGGTGTATAAAGTGTTTTCTCTTTTCTCTCTCCAGTCGATGATAGAACTGACCCTAACAACATGTGTGCAAGATCAAGACATATGCCAGGTTCCGCTGGAGATTGTCTCAGACATTCTGTCACAGGTATGTTACAACAAATCATTTCATTACCCACTTTGTGTCATTTAAGCGCAAGTCCACCGTCATATGTAGTTGGTGTTTATAAAAGTAGAAAAATAAGAGAAAGAGATTAGTGAAAGTTTGATCAAAATTCAATGATAAATTAGAAGGTTATGAATTTTTAAAGCTGTAACCGATCAAACACAAATTGGCATCACTGTGGTGTTTCTTTGGAGGTCTTCTCCCATTCGTTGTTGCACAATTAACCAGAAGAACTAATAAATCTAATTCACTGCAGGTTTTTTTTGTTTGTTTGTTTTTTTGCAAAATTGGATAAGGAAACATGTTATGCGGTTGATGTGAAATGAGGCCCTTTGAGATAAGAGAAGCAATTTATTGTAGGTTTGTTGAATAAGGAAACATGTTATGCGGTGGATGTGAAATAGGCCCTTTGAGATGAGAGCATCAGGGTCTTGTAGGTTTTTATATGTGAGAAAAAAGTACTAAACATATATTAAGATGGTAATCTAAGTCCTAGAAAATTAGATGCAAGATTCAAGTTTTGGCAGATAAAATCACTGGTACTGCAAGGGTTGTAAGAATTGCATCATTATTCAGACGTATAACATAAACACTACAGGTACTGGTAATACAAATATGGATTGCTTTGAGGGGTACGTTGCCCAAGGTGATCATGAAAGTGTACTATACCCCAAGACAAAGTGCACTCTCCAGATCACCAAGGTGCTATAGTTTTAACCCTGACCCCAAATATAATCTGTAAATATTCACTGCGTGTATCCATTCTTAATTTTATGCGCAGCCATTGCGTCATTGCGTTGTATGCTCAAACAGAATTACGCAAGTCAATAATTTTTTGCTATACTGCCCAGCAGTCATGCAGTAGCGTATTTCATGCCGGCACTTTTCGGCTTTTCATATGTCACCTCAATCAGGAAAAATGAGCAAGTAGTACAAACTTTCTAGAAATGTGATTTTCTCTTTGAAATTCAGATACCGTCCGCCAAATGTCTTTTTGGTTCCCTCTCTTCAAATTTATTTTAATCACTCATGCGTGAAATATGCATCATATGAGTTGCATCAAATGAAAGAGGAGGATCTAAGCCTAACAAATATGTGTCATTTATTAATTATAATTGTGATTAAGTTCTCATGCATGAAATATGCATCATAGGAGTTGCATCAAATGAAAGAGGAGGATCTAAGCCTAACAAATATGTGCCATTTATTAATTATAATTGTGATTAAGTTATGATAAAATATTGAGAATTCTCAGTTTCGTTTTTTTCTGGGATGCACTGTACAATGACTCTTTATATGTTTCCCTATACAAATTTCATATGAATTTCTTCTTGTCTGTAATAAGTGTACCGTGCGAGGTTACTTGATAGGAGGAAATGCCATTAAGCGATCATGAGGATGATAATCAATCAATTGAACGGAAGATAAAAACAAAACCAGACTTCTAGGAAATGAAGTTGTGTAACGTAGCAGTGATGTGAAAGACATACAGAGCAAGACAAATTGGGAAAGATATAATATGTACTTCAGTAACCAATGTTTCCTGGAATATTGGGTTGCTAATCATGTTGAGCAATGCGTGACATGGGTAATAGGGATCATGATACACTGTCGGAAGAAAAGAGAGCTTTAAAAAAAAAGGTTCATGAAAGAGAGAGATAAAGAGAAAGTGAGCAAGAGTGAAGGAAGGAGGGAGGGAGGTAGAGAGAGACGAGGGGTGAAGACAAAGACAAGAGATAGAAAGAAAGAAAGGGAGAGAATAAAAATAATAGGTAAAGGTAAATACTTAATTTAGATAATTTTGAATATCAAACACATATAGGTTGATAGGTTGTAAAACAGAATGGTAATTGTGTTTGAACTAGCACAGAAATTAGTATTGTATAGTACTTATTCTGTGTTGATGTACATACATTTTGTTCATTCCCTTTGTTCTCACTTTCCTTCTCAATTGAAATGCACCTATTTTCATCAAAAAATAGCTCCACCACATGCCTTGTCATTTTGTCTTCGTCCACTTTAATTTTTAAGATTCAACTGTTTTTAATTTTTTGTAGAAATGCTTGGTTACAAAAACTGTATACTAATTAGGTAGATTTCAATGCAATTCCCTCAGGTAATTGAGTTTCTAGAATTGTAGTAGTACTCTATCTTTCATGGTGCCTGTATCACAGGTGAATTGCTGATGACTATCCACCATTCTGCTGTATTTACAATTCTCAAAGTTCAAAGTGACCATCTGCTTTCTCTCACGTTCTTGCTCAGTTATCTATGCAAATAGTTCTTGTTCTTCCTTGAAAATGTTGTAATGGTATTCTAAGAAATCCTGAGGTCTTCAAGAAAAGCACAATAGGCTGTGAGTGTAAGGAATTAATTATATACAAGATCCCAGTTGTGCGCCATATGCACAATGTTGCTAGAAGATTGTAATTATCATCTCTGCAATCAGTAGCAGTTAATAACATTGACTTTTTTTCAGAATGCTTGTGCCTCTGTACCAGATTTCAATTCAATTTGGAAATAATTATCAAAATCTTGAGGAACCCGATATGATTAGGATAAAAAATAGTATATCATTATTATCTTATGCTTGATGTGTTAATATAGAAATATGAAACTAGAACTGCAATCGTATTAGAATGATATGTACGCCTGTGTTTTTATCTGACAGGCGAAAGAGCCACTGCTCGCTTCGCTCACTCGCAAATAAATATTCAGACCATTACACCTAATTGCAAAGTATGATGTTTAGCAGTATCTTGGACCATGTAAAGAGAGAAACAAACAATAAAATCATCCCTGATAAAACATATGTAGGAGTATATTCCAATGTCTAAAAATTGCATATATTTGCTTTGAGATTTCCCTTTGTAGGTGCCCCTTGTTTCCAGAAAAGGCCCATTGGGGGGGGGGGTGCTACCCCCCCCCCCCCCCCCCCACTTTGAAAGATGTTCCACCACCCCTGGTCTGTGTACAGGAATTTCAAACTATCTACTGGATTCAACTCCAGATTTAGAAGATTTTTTTCCCCAGGTAATAGAAGTATTATACTTCCAAAATATCCACAATAAACATGATAGAGAGACTTGCCACTCGATTCATTCAATATGTTTCCTGCGGTCTACAGTTAAACGCCAAACAAGGTAGCAACAACTCCCGTCTTTTAACGTCTTTTGGTATGACGCGGCCGGGGTCGAACCCACGACCTTCCGGTTGTGAGGCAGATGCTCTACTTTTACAAACATACTGATTGTAGGTTGATTCATTTTCTATAAAGAAAACCAGTAAATATGGAACACTGGTAAAATAAATGTATCTCAGCATCTTTAAAAGGGAGGGGGCGCCAGCTAAAGGACACTTACAAAAAACAGGGGGAAAACCCACAAAGTGTGAACAACAAAGCAGGAAAAACTAAATTTTGAGACATTGTAACCCCCACATTCTAGTTAGTATGTTATCAAGGATCATCTTCGTCATTGTTTCTATATTCACATCATACTTTCTATATTCACAGCATGCTTTCTATATTCACAGCATGCTTTCTATATTCACATCATACTTTCTATATTCCCATCATACTTTCTATATTCACAGCATACTTTCTATATTCACAGCATGCTTTCTATATTCACATCATACTTTCTATATTCACATCATACTTTCTATATTCACAGCATGCTTTCTATATTCACAGCAAGCTTTCTATATTCACAGCATGCTTTCTATATTCACATCATACTTTCTATATTCACAGCATGCTTTCTATATTCACAGCATGCTTTCTATATTCACATCATACTTTCTATATTCACAGCATGCTTTCTATATTCACATCATACTTTCTATATTCCCATCATACTTTCTATATTCACAGCATACTTTCTATATTCACAGCATGCTTTCTATATTCACATCATACTTTCTATATTCACATCATACTTTCTATATTCACAGCATGCTTTCTATATTCACAGCATGCTTTCTATATTCACATCATACTTTCTATATTCACATCATACTTTCTATATTCACAGCATGCTTTCTATATTCACAGCATGCTTTCTATATTCACAGCATGCTTTCTATATTCACATCATACTTTCTATATTCACATCATACTTTCTATATTCACAGCATACTTTGTGTGTAATGTCCTTACGATTCATTAGCATGTCAGGCAGCCCTTCAGTCAAGAGAAACTTTTGTTTAAAAAAAAATGCATACAATTTGTTAATACAAGATCATTCGCATCACATGTCTAATGCTGCTTACAAATTCTAGGCCCTATTTTCAATTACAATTGCAAAATTGCTTTAACCAATTACTTCACAGCCAATTGCAAGGATTTCAGTAACAAATACTGTTATCAGACATTCTTCTTTGTCACTGATAATGCTTTGTATGAAACAGAGACCCCACATGGGAGCCTGCTGTCATTCACATTCATAACATTTTATTTACTAAGTGCAATGACGCCTATCAATTCTCATATTCTTTTCATCTTGCTTCCCATTCTTTCCGACTGTATGCCTGCATAATGTGAGTTGTATTTGAAACTGTACGTGCATATCACTACCAAATGCGCAGTAGTTTGAAGTTTGACTATATGCCACTCGACGCCATCTTTATTTCATCTGAAGCACACATTAGGAGTAGATATTAGGAGTAGACAATGGGCGCGTTCATGCTTGATTTTGAAGGCAGAATGAGCGATTTGTAACGCTCATCGTAAACGCTCATCGTAATCGCAGTTCCACGGTGCACTGTTCATGCTCACTTCTCCAGGCAATTCTCCTTGGGTGGCCTTCAGCTGGATTCGCAAACCTGTGTGCGCATGCTATGTAGACCCACTAGAGGTCAGTGCGTTGACCCCATTTAAACGCGTTTACAAATTGTAAACGCATCTTTTTGTGAGTTTACGATCGGCGATCGTGATCGCCGTTTTTTCGGTGATTCTACAAAAGTGAGCATGAACGCAATCGTGTTTTAAACTAAACGCGTAACAGATGCCTGATTCTGGCCGTCAAAATCAAGCATGAACGCGCCCAATGTCATAAATATGGCGAAGTAGGGTCCCTTTATTGTACTTGCAAGACGATATTATTTGGCCTACAGCAATGCTTTCTATATCAAATGAAATATTGTTTTACTCTCTATGTCATGATAATGCTTCATAGTTGAGAGGTGAATTTCCCTTTAATGACATAGCATTTATTTTGTATTCATTAAATTTATTTTTCAAAACTCCAATTCCTTTCTGTACATAACATAGAAGCAAAGCAAACCAAAACGTGATTATAAGAAAGCCTTATAAGGTTATGCATGCATTGACGGCCGTGTTTATTCCGCTCGAAAGTGGCCTGATGGATCAGGTGTACCCTTGTTTTCAAAGTCTAATCGACCAACAATAGAAGAGGTCATGTTAATTACGTTATTATTTTGTTGCCATATCTCTTCCATACATTTACCAGGTTAGCAAGTTGTCAAAGAAATCAACTTTCTGTTTATGATAGAGATTGTATTATCTCATGCATTTGAATAAAGCATGTGTTGTCTTCCCTCTTTTCCAGGTCTTCAATTTCAAAGACTGCTCTGTCTACCGGTACCCCCACTAAATATTCTTGATATCATCACATTGAATTAGAATTCTTTGATCATGTTACTAAATGTGTGCAGACGGGCAATACCAGTAATTTGAATGAGACATTGACGAAAAGAAGAAGAAAAAGAATTCAGAACGCGAACTAAAAAAATTCATTGACGAAAGTCATCAATGCAAATAGATGAAGAGATATCAATCAGGATAGAAAATTGGGTGGGTGGGGGGGGGGGGGAATTGGATATCTTTAAATCTATAGGTCAAATACTGAAACTGGCATACCTTGTTTGTCAGAGAAAGTAATATTGCGTCTGTTTGTACTCCTATACTTTGTCACAGTCGAGTTGGCTCCATCTGGCTCTAAATAGATGATATGTGCCTAACATAACATAATTTTCTTTTGTATAAATGATATACTGGTACATGAAGATACAGACACAGCTTCCAGTAAATACACACAACCACATATACATGAATCCTATTCTTTTGATAATTTGCATATGATATCATCAATAAATAATAAATAAATAAAAACGTTACTTATAAAGCGCTAACCACCGAAGTCTCTAAGCGCAATGATTAGATTTTGTTCTGAATAAGGACACTAGTTGTCAGATTCCGTGGAGGGTTTATCTTTGAAGATTATGATGAAATTTAGTCAAAAGTGAGTGTACCTATTGCAGTGCTCACCATGTTGTTTTTCAGGAAACGTTTTTCAAATCCACGGTCTATATTTCATGCACATGTATACATGTATGTGTGCTTTCATACTGGGGGAATATTGATTACGTACGGTATCTATGTCAGCTTGTAGTTGGTCGGTCATGGCCCGGAACAAGGAAATGCCACCTTGAGGTAGTCTGCTGCTCCAGACTCGATCCAGTGTTCTGTCCGATATGAAAGAGGAATGTGATATGAAATTTGACGAAGAATGTTGAAGAAGAAATGCTTAGTTTTATATCTGAGTATTCTATTAAATAAATCACTGCAGCTTTTAGTTATTTAGATCAATTATTAGTTTGAAAAATAAGTTTTTTTGGTCAAGGGAACTCTTTAAGATCTTACTGTATAAAGTAAGCTATCTATGCCCTGTGTTAGATAAAGGAGTGTAATAGATTTTATATTTTGTTCCAGTTTCAGTTTCAATAAATAGTTTATTTAAACATATATTTGGCACTATATAGACTGAATTATACATGTTATTTTTTCAATCATGTTGTGAATATAAACAAAATAGAGCTCTTGGAAAATGTCCATAGCTGTTAAAACCACCTTCTGCTCCCTTTTTTGTGCTCATTATTAAATAACTGGTTCTCTGTACATAGTAGACCTGTATTTGGATACTGTTTGCTGAATGTAAAGTATTACACAGGGTCTAGCATGCAAGACTACCCCTTTGGGTGCAACCAGCAAGTGCAGATTATGTTTCAAGTAAAAGTCTGCAAGTTATGATGATGATCAAGATGGTTGTGTATGATGATGATGGTAATGTTGATGATGATGATTATGATACTGCTGCTGATGATGATAATAGAGATGGTGATTATAATTTCTTGACAAGGTCCTAGAGAGTCAGGAAACGGTGAAAAAACAAAGATGGGGGGGCCGAGGGCAATGTGCCCCTATAGTTCATGAAAAATGCTCGCGTCAAAGTACATGTAACCTCTCAAAAACAGTTTATGTTTAAACCCTGTCTGGAGGCTGGGTACCAAAGGACTACTAAAGCTCTTCCCTTCTCCCAGTAGAGAGAGAGAGAGAGAGAGAGAGAGAGAGAGAGAGAGAATCTTACTCTTTATCATTTTATTGATTGTTTAGGCCCAAGTAAAAGCACTGACTAACTATCATTGATAAATCACTGAACATGCATGGTAGCAAGACTTTGTTGAGCATAAAAGTAGCCGTCACAAGTACCTTCCTGCCCTCCTCCTCCAACCCCCCCCCCCCCCCCCCCCCATCCTTTTCCTGTCCTATAGCCAGACTGTGAGTGTTTGACTCGTTTTAATGTGTCCTTTGTTATGTTGGATATCATGGTATAGTTCCTGTTTCTACACAGGTCTTGTATTTAATTTGTTATTGCCAAGCTAAATAGAACTCCTGGCAAGCTAAAGTAACAAGAAAAGGAAGTTAATTTTATATATAAAAGGAGATGAGAAGAAGAATATATATGATGCACACAGTGGTTGATAAAAAAAGGAATTGTCAAAATAAGGAGATAAATGGTTGTTGATCTGTCCAGTAATGTTTTGATGTGATAAGAAGTGTACAATACGTAAGCTGACATGACCAAGGGGAAATGTAGATGTCATTATTCAATTGACAAAGTCTGTGGAGAAAGAAGCAAGAAGGTTAAGAGTGTGATACAAAGAGATTGACAGAGATAAAGAGAATGGAGAAAAAAGAGGGAGAGAGAGAGGGGGACATGGGGTGGGAGGGAGATGAAAATATCTGTTCTTGCTTATGTTCTTTTTGGAAATTTAGTTTTCTTTATTACTTTCTTCTTTGAGTTGTGTACTTTTTGCAGGTTTCCTACTTCCACCCAATGAATGACTCCATAAGTGATTCAGAAAATGTATTTTTCAAATATAATTACAGCTCAGAGGATTTCTGTTTAAAGTTAGACTGGCTTTGGGCACTTCTGTTGGTATCCTTTTCATTATTTCTAGATGTGAACGTAAAAGGTGTTTGTATAGAACTCCCTTCAAGCATAATTGCACTACAAGGAAATCACTCTCTGTTTAAATGGCCTGTTTTCTTTTTTATCTTTTCTTTTTTCACTTTACAGAACGCTGACATGATTAACTCTGTGGCACATGAGAGCATCATCATGGCTGTAGCTCCTCTCCTAGAGAACAACCAACCATCACCTGAGATCTGTTCCTTCTTCAGCAAACATTGTAGGAACTCACCACGTTCTAAAGTCGTTATTGAGATGTTCACACCGGTCATACACAGGATCCTCAAACACAATATGGCAAGTTACACACAGAACCTTCCTGATATGTTAGAAATTGATGTTTTTGTTGCAAGAAACTTTTGCGAAGTGCAAATGTCATGGAAAGAAATATATATGAATCTAAACCACTTGCAAAATTTGCTAACTTTTGCACGCTCCCCATTTGTTTTTACACTGCTTTGACATTTTATTATCAGACAGAAAGTCTGTGTCGTCATAAATATAATTAAATCACATTAGTTCAGCGTATGAATTTTTGCAAATCTTGACTGCTAAAGTTTCTCTGATTAGTAGGTTCTTCTTGTTATAAATGATGTATTCACTCTTTATTGAAACAGAATTTGGTAGAATGATTGGAAGTTCTGCATTTCCACCAAAAAAGAAGGATTTTTTTTAATCCATAGGCACAGTATGGGAAGGCTGAGACTTGGCATTAGATATATGTAGTCCTACAAATACAAAATGATTGATTCACTTCTATATTTAAATTATATATCTTATTTAAAAGTAGTATTTTACTTAGTCTTTGACTTTAATTTATAATTTCCTGAAATGAGCCTCTCATTGGACCTAATTTGAAATGTAGCTATCTCAAGATGTATTATGCTTTGCCTACTTTACCAATTGACAGGTGTGATTTCTTGCTCTCTTATAAGTATAATCTTGGAGCAAAAATGGCTGAAAAGGAAGTGAATTATTATTAACTGAATTTTTTTCTTTCTTATATTAGGATTTCATTTTCTCATTTTGAAAAGGAAGTTATTTTTTTGTATTAATATCCAATTATGTGAAGTGGATATAATCATAGATTTAATTTTGTCAAAATGTTCGTAATTACAAAGGAAGTGCATTTTTATGAAAAAATAAAAAACAAGACCTACATGTATAGATTTCCAAAAGAAAGTGTATACTTGTGTAATTTTGATTAAAATATTTAAAAATTCATTTTTATGACATTTGAAATCTTGGGATATTATTTTGAAAGCAGTGTGACATATGAAGGCAGTTTAATCAATGTGGAATTAGTAAATCCATGCAATCTTTTCCCAATGCACTATGCGCAAAAGGGGATGCAGAATTCAATAGCACACACAATATCTATTTCTTCAACAACTGAGTATTCAGTAAGCATCATCTGCAAAACTACTAAATGCACAGCCCTTTTTCACAAGTTTGATTTTCATTACTTGTCTTAAATTAACATTTATTGATTTTCATAACTTATCATGTATGTTTCTTGTTGTTTCTTGTGATTTATAGGACTTTGGAAAGAATCCACGGCTCCAGGCATTTGTGCGTGATTTCATTCTAGCAATGCATTACAAAGACGACCATGATTTTGCCTTCAAGGAATTTGTCAGCATGTAAGTTAAAAATGGATTTTAGAAACTGGTCCTTATTTCCACCATAAAATGAGATAAATGTATTATGTTGATGATTTAACCTCATTTGTAGAGGAAACAAGGGGATATGTTATTAGGAATGTAAGCGAATCAGTAGTCAAAGGGTCAAAGAATAACTTGACACTGAGGCAGGAAACACAAAGTATTGTATTTTCTTCCTTTTTCTCCAAACATTTCAGCGCTTGTGTCATTAAGGGAAACATGCTATTTTTATAGAAACCAAGAAGGTACTTCCTGTTTATGCATCTTTGCTAAACGTTGGTTAATTACGTCCATTCTTTCTAGTCCATCCATTCTTCAAAAATAGAGATGGACAAGATGGGATACAATGGAATATAATTACAAATGGAAATAAGTAGTGTAGGAGAAGAAGAAAGACAGGTAACTAGGGTTTAATAATTGGGGCACTGGTCAGTGTTGACAAGAATGGCTAGTATATATAAGCTTGGTCTTTTGACATGATTCTAGAATGTAACTACACCCTAATTGTAGTTTGTGATGTACATTTAGAAGGATAACATGGGTGGATTGATTAGGTTCTTAATGATAGTGTTTGCTGTCTTTTCTTATGTCTTCTGATCGTTGAGACCTATTGTTGAAATCATGTAATACTGGGTCTTACTCTCCTAACCTCTGTCGCACTTTCATTTCACAGTTTTCTCATCTTTTGTTTTTATTGTGGAACATGGATCAAATAGATCACAAAAGAAATCTCTTTTGTAACAGGATGAAACTTGTCTTAAATGGCATGGGCTTCAAAATAGCTGAACATGGATGTGAAGTATATGGATGAACAACTAACACAACCAGAAAACAAGAAAAAACAAATAGAATTGATTTAATGTCCTCTTCATTTTCTGATTGTGTACTTAATTGAAATCAATCAAAGCGTATATGTTTATTATATCATGATCATATGAAAATTGTGACTTTTATATCATCATATCAAGTGACTATGTGCATTGATGTTTATATCTTTTTTATTTGTAGCATGCATGGGCCAAGTATTGAGTGCCCTCATCCTAGAGTACTCCCTAACTTGGTTGCCATATGCCTTGCTTCTATCGCCACTTTCTACCAAGATTCAAACAGGTAAACCTTAATACAAACCCACTTGTGGAAGATTAGCCTTGTGCTAGCAAAACAGATTAACCAATGAAATATACTACTACTACTACTACTACTACTACTACTACTACTACTACTACTACTACTACTACCACTTCTACTTCTACTACTACTTCTACTTCTTCTACTGCTACTACTCGTACTAGATTCTGTTTCTATCATGAAAATTGATTTTAGTATGGAAAGCATTACTTGTTTTGTTGAGTAAACTGTGCCCCCAATTAATATCTCAAGTTCCTGCATAAGACCTTTTTTCATCACTTAATTTGTAAAAAGGGTGGAGTCATTAAATGTATGTCTTCTATCCCAATTAGATGCAGATTGCGTGAGATCCAATGTGAGGACAGTGTGAGCTCTACAGGAGATGAAACCGTACTTCATGAACTAGATGTTATGACATCCTTTGTCAAAGTACTACAACTAACGTGAGATACTAGTATCCTTCTATCATTTTCTATTCTCAAATATATAAGTTATTTTTTAAAAAGGCCACCCAGCTGCTGGAGTTGTCATATTGTAATTGTTATAAAGGTGTATAAATAACCAGTGAGGAATACCTTTTTTCCAGAATACTGATAACCAAAACTCTATTCAAATAGAAGGAGAGAGGGAAAATAATTGTTATAAAGGTGATGTATGAATAACTAGTAAGGAATACATTTTCTCCAGAATACTGATAATACAACTCTTTTTATAAAACTTGAACTTGAACTTGAACATATAGAAAGAGAGAAAAAATATTAATTAAAAAAATAAAGATAGCAAGATAGATAGAAAGACTGATAGATAGATTAATCAGTCAATAAATACAAACAGATTATTATAGATATTGAATCAAAATATTATCAAAAGCACATATTGGAGTGGGTACAGTTGAGTCAGTATATTTAATTAATGAGCTAATTACATTGATATCATTTAGTTATCAGAATGAAAATTTACAAATTTAACCAACTATAATGAGACAACCGGTAATGAGTTATAGTATTGTTGGAAATATGATTAATCAAAAGAAAATGGGAAGAAAAGTACTATCGATCACTAGAAAAGTTTTTGACCAGGCATGTCTATTGTTATAATTGATGTGTATATCATAACTATAAAGAAATAATATTTACTTTTTTAACGTTATCATTATTTTTTGATGGCTGCTACATTTTAAAGAAAAGATTTTCATGTGAACATTTTTTGTAACTCACTTTGTTGATAAATCATTGACTGAAACGTTTAAAAGTTTTTTAGATATCTTTCTTTCTTTATGAAGTACTACATGTACCTGAAGTGAGATAAGATTAACAGGGAAATAAATTGAAACAAAAATGGTATTTTTAAGAAGTCAAATAAATACCTGGTAAAGCCAGTTTGTATACACAATCTGCACATGGGCAGATACAGTCATTTGTACAAAATTGTGACACCCCCGAGACGAATCGGGTATGACATTATATAATCGTTATTCATTTATGCACCGACTAGACATTATATGAAACAGAGGTGGAATGTATTCTTCATAAGGGGGCAGACTAAAGGTATTCATGAGGCACATCCATGACTTTGACAATGATTATTCTAAAATGCACAAAGTCTGACTTCTCCATGTTTGAGATATCTGTGGATAATTAAACCATGTGCTAATTATTAAAAAGAGATTCTGGTTATGGTTTAATTAATTATTTATTAATTGTTTTTGTTTTTTCCAGGGCTGATTATGATGACTGGCTCCCTTCTCTTTCTGGAATGCTGCTACCCATTCCGTTTCCTAAAGTGTAAGTATTTAAAAAAATCTTTATTATTTCTTTGATCGTTGAATCTCCCTCATTGGTTATATTACACAGATTAGATGATAAACAGTCAGGTTTATTTCTGGGCCCCATCCCCTTGAATCTCAGCTATGGAGTGTGCTTAATTCCCTTTTTCAGTCTTTCCAAGCACCTCCATAGTGAATCCAATGTGAGTTTGTGATCATTTCATAATTCATTACTTTGAAATTTGATCAAATTTGATCGTTATATTCAACTTGCTGTTAAAAAGTCTAGATGTTTCAAAATCATCAATTTACTCTCAAAATTCAGGAATGATGATGACCTATTAATTGGCTACAAGCAATACGTGGTCATACATGTATGCGTATTACAATTTGTTTAATGATTAAAGATAAACTCCAGTTCTGGTAAAAAAAAAGAAAATTAATTCTCAAGATTACAAATAAATGACATGTGCCAAACATATACTGGCTGAGTAATTAGCATAGAAAGACAAGGAAATCAAGGTAGTACTAGCCCCGACACCATGTGTGTTGTCTCATATATGCTTTTTGTGTACAGTGCTTGTTACTTTACCAAGACTCTGTCAAATTTATTAGGATTTTGATGACTCCAGAACCTTGCAGTGCACATCAATACTTGCATGCTACATGATCAACTGTTTCTGATCCTTTCCACACCTTTTCTTTCACAATGCAATCGCATTACCAGTTTATCTTTAAGTACTGTATATGGTAGTTATTTGAGTTTGACTTTATTAACAACAAAAATAATAACAAGTAAAACATTATGTATCAATTATTGTTACATAAAACACATATAACACATGATAAATAATAATAATAATAGCCTAATAGTCCACTCCAAATTTTATTAAACCGAAACGGAAATTCTTTTTGCTTAATTAATCGTGAGCCCGGCAGCCACTGATCAGCGCCAGATCGACGTTGCTCTATCCCTTATTGTCGAACGCCAAACAAGGTAGCAACAACTCCCATCTTTTAACGTCTTTTGGTATGACGCGGCCGGGGTTCGAACCCACGACCTCCCGGTTGTGAGGCGGACGCTCTACTGACTGAGCCAACACTCCATTACACATGAATAAGATAAAGCCCACACGGTCATGTATATTTCCCCCACGACTTGAGCTCACGCACGACAGCTATTCTCCACTCCTGACGACCGATAGTCAACCTGTTCGAAACGTCGAGCCACTTCCGCCACCCATACTCTCCAGTCGGCGCTATAGTTCTCCTTAGAACTATAAGCTAAGAAAGAAAGATAACCAACAGTCTTTTTCAAGACTACACCAACAGTCTTATTCAGGACTACACACCCTCAAGAAAGATTACCGAGAGTCCTTTTCAGGACTCCTCAATCCTCCCTCTCTCTCACATGGTGCACCCGCAAGCCCACTGTATAAGATAAACATTGTTTTACAAAGTATGTTATATAGAAATGAAATAAAAGATTATGTGTACACTTTTGTTGTTAAATGGGGTATCAGAAGTTCGCATAAGTGCTAGTCGAGTCTGGTTCCCTGTCTTTGGCAAGAATTGTTTACTATTTTTACTACCAAGTATACTATATTACATATTATACAAATATACACTGCCTTGAGAGGTTCTGGTTAAAACTATGCGCAAGAGGTGACTCCAATAGTACTATTTGCTAAGGGGCGCAGCCCCGAAGCAAATGGTACGTCTGGGGTCCCCGAGGCCCATAGTTTAACCAGTACCTCAAATAAAAGGCATGGTATATTTGTTTTATATCCTGCATCAAAAATTTATTTAAAAAAAAAAAAAAAAACATTTTTGGGAAAACAAATTTTAGAACAAAAAAAATGTCAATTTTTATCTAAAAAGATTTAAAATATTTTGTTTTTATTAAATTAAGATTTGAAAAAAAAAATTGATTCAATTAAAAAAAAAATTCACATTTTATTTTCAACTCCCAAATAGTAAACCAAAATAGTACTCTCATATAGTACTTTCTAAAAAAATAGCTCAAATATTTCTGGTCATGTGACGAGCTCTCAACCAATCAAAAGCCAACAAATTTTTGATGCAGGATATAAATATATATGTAAGAGAATATATAGAGACTATATAATGAGAGTAAACAAGGAAATAGATCATTTGTTTAGAAATATTCCTTACTTAATATATACATGAAAGTCAAATGTATGTCGACTTCTGTATCAAAGCAAAAAATAGAATAAAAAATACATCATTATTTAATGTGATGATCTTTTTAGAAATTCTCTAATCTGAGATTGATTTTTTGCCATTTTAAGAAGTCTTAACTGATGTTTAACTCAAAGATTTTACATGTAGATGTTTCATTAACTCCCTTCCGAAAAGCATTTTTTAGATCTTTTTGCTCTTAAATCATATGGTATACTATTCCATATTTTCATGGCCATAAATGATATTTGAACGCTGAATGGCTTGGTAAAAAGATTATTGATGTACATTTATACTGTGGTACCAGTATCCTGTAGGAAGCTATAATAATGATAATAATGATAAAATGGTGCTTATAAAGCACCCTCCACCGAAGTCTCTAAGAGTCTGACAGTGTAATTTATGCATGAAATAAAGAGGAACAAACAAGAGTAGTATTTTCGATAAATATATGACATGAATACATGTCTCATTACATTCAAATTTGACCCATATAGGGAACCTCATAACCAACTCTTTGAAAGATAAAGGGCATTTACAAATAAGTTTGCTGAATCACACCCCCCCCCCCCCCCAAAAAAAAACAAACCATTTTCTATCAAAGCTCAATCAGTATCCACTGTATCATTTACATACATTTTGAACTGCAGTCTCTTTTAACACATCAAACGTATTCATGAAAGCCTGAAAAAGGTTGTGAATAAAAATGAATAAGTACCTCCAGTTGTACACATTACATAAAACAGACTGATATGTAATTCAGTTTGTAAAGCGAATATGGAGTTGAAACAAGATCTACAGTATTATACTTATAATGTACAGAGTCCATCCATTCATATGTGGCAATATTTTCAACAGTCATATACTTGTTTCTAATACAATACATCAATACAAGTCATACTTGTTTATATATGTGTACATCAATACAAGTCATACTTGTTTATATATGTGTACATCAATACAAGTCATACTTGTTTATATATGTGTACATCAATACAAGTCACACTTGTTCATATATGTGTACATCAATACAAGTCATACTTGTTTATATACATGTATGTGTAACAAGTAACAACCACTAAAGATATCCTTTGTAAAGTTGTTGAGGTTTCTTGTTATTAGTTTAACCCTTACTGTACTGGGGGGGGGGGGGGCCTGGGAGGCCCCCCCTCGACATTTTCGGAGATTGCGCCGCAACCGCTTAGAATTTTGAATTGTCGTTTCATGACTTTTTTCCCTCAAGTCTTACGCACATTTTGATACCATTTTCGTCAAAATCGGATATACCTGTAAGGCGTTACATAACAATTAGTATGCGCATGTCATCAAAAAAACAAAAAAAAATGAAAATCGCATTAAAATTTGCATAAATTATCATTATTAATTACATTAAAATAACTTTTTTGTGTGAGAAAAGAAGTTTCATATGAATAATGAGTTTCAACAATCAAAAAGTGGAGTTTGACACGTTTTCGGTAAAATGCATAAAATTAGCGCATTTTGCATAATTAATTAGGCTAACGACAAAAATTTGCATATTCGGAAAAAAATAATTATACCATCTTGTTCCTTACGTAAATATCTACAAACATGCAAATTTTCGTGTTCATCGGACAATCGACGGCCGAGATCATAGGGGGGGGGGGCCTCCCAGGCCCCCCCCCCCCCCCCCAGTCAGTGGGTGCTCAAAATAGCCCAGTACAGTAAGGGTTAAGCTTTTGCAATACAGCATTACATGAATATTGTCTAAACAGGAACTTAATCTAGGTTTGTTTCCATTTCAGAAACTATTTACAACACTCAACCAGATCTACAAGCATGAGATGTAGGACATGTTGAAATACTTGAAGAAAAAAATTCCAATAACTTTTAATTCATTTTGCACAAAATCAGAATGTGTCAGTCACATGTAATGAAGACTTTTTGTTTTTTTGTTTTTTTGTCTTTTATGGTTCTATATGTTGTGCTCTAAAATACTGGAAAGAAGAAATGATAATTCAACACTCTTACATTACAGTATATACATCTTCAAAATATCTGGAAACCTTTTTAACTTTTCAGACAATGTTCAGTCTTTTATTTTCCCCCACAAGATATCAAGTCTAATAAAAGTTTGTTCAATGTTATTGATATTGATATTGTGGTGGGGAATGTGTGCTTATTCAATTTATGTGAATTATTATAACTGACATCATTGCATTAGGCTGTCATTGTCTGACTAAAATTGACTTAAAATGGACCTGTGATTAAAAAATGCTGTACATGTTTGGGTTCAATGTTGATATACTGTATTCTTTAAAAAAAGGCTTAACTTTTGTATAGAGAGATATTGAAGTTTACCAAAGCTTACTCTTCAGGTGCTCTTTTAGCTAACTTTCGTAAGACTAGCCCCATTTAATTGATGACAATTTTGAGGGAAGTGATTCATTTGCAATCTGGCTGCAGTTATTAGGAAGCTTGGCAAAGGTCTTCACACATTTAATACCCACCTGCTGTGTTATTATTACTAGATACATTTCGATTGTAGTTTGTACAGACACAGAATCATATTGATTGATTGAGAGAGAGCATATAGCTCTCATTTATTTCTTCCAATATGTACAATTAAAAATCTAACAAGTTTACAGTATGTCATGCATAATTTCATGTTTACATCAAAATAACAGAGTAATACATACATAAGAGCTAGTAATACAAATAAATGAAAGAAAAGGGTGTCCCGAAAAAAGCCTCAAGGGCTTGTAAGGAGGAGATCACCAGAGTAAAAAAAAACAAAAAAAAAAACAAACAAACAAACAAAAAAGAATAGTTGTTTACAAATGAATCATGAATAATGCTAACGACAGCCGGAGGGGTGTGGTCGTTGCGACGCCACACTCCAGCACTCTACAAAGCTGAGTAGCAAGGTAAATTTACATTATTTAATTTGATCATTTAGAGAGAAGGAATCTTTTCATTCGTGTTTTTAAAGAGTGCATTGAATCATGTGTGTTGAATGTCAGAAGGCAAGGAATTCCAGATAATGGGGCCAAGGTAACGAACTGAGTTTGAAAGTATATTAGTTTCTGTTTTCCAGAGATGGAATTTGGCTGACTGTCGAGTAGAGTAAGCATGGACATTTTCGGTTAAACAAAACATCTGAATAAGATAAGGGGGGAGGCGTTTGGTAAAAAACTTGTGCATCAAAGAAGCAATCAATAATTTGTTTGAGTCCTACACATTTAATGTTGAAAGTATTTCTTCTACAGATTTGATATCTTTACCATTCCTCTCATGTTGTTAAAATCTTCTGATTGACAGGATCATTTTTGGATTCAAAAGGAATGCAATCCATGCAATATCACAACAATATATGTACATCTTTTCAACATTTGGTTGAATTCTGCGTTAGAAGGCTGTGTAATTGTCACACACAGCTAGTCAGTATACTGAACAGAGCAGTGTGTAGTCTCAATGCAAATTTATTCAATTCACGTATTCCCCTGGTTCATTTGCATGATTGTTTGGTGGCCATTTTTCTTTGATTATACAACGTCTAAAGATTTAGATATAATGCATGACAAATGGACAGAGGCATCAGGGGTCCATAGGCTTCTAACATAAATGGGGTTTTGGACCGTTTTCCCATCTGAGCAGAAAGGAGTTCAACTGGGTTTGGAACTTGTTATACAGACTAGTTAAGATAATAATAATAATAATAATAATATGTCTTCTTTACCCAGGGTAGCCTCATCAGTATTTATACTGTTCTCCTCTAATAGTATTTACTCCACACACTATGGAAGTAACAGATCAGTGGCATACGCAGGATTTTTTCAAGGGAGGGGGTTTGAAAATCGCGCCGGCCGAAAAAGTCGCTCAGTAGGGGGGGGGGGGGGGGGGGGGGGGGGGGGGGGGGGGGGGGTAAAAAGACACTTTTTTCTAAAGGGGGGGGGTTCCAAAAAAACATACACAATTCATACACATAAAAAAAACTCAAGGGGGGGGGGTAACCCCCCCCCCCCCCCCCCCCCCCCCCTGCGTACGCGCCTGTAACAGATAATAATCTTTGCAATTATTTGAGATAGGAGAAATCTCATAAAGAGGCCACAAACAAATAATGAATCACATATAGGGGTTGAAATATCGATTGTCTGAAGATAGTTTTGGGAATAGTAAGGTAGGATAACATGAGAAGAACTTCAACAAATCTGACACATTGAAACAAAAGGAGAGATTTAGAGATAGAAGGGAAGAGAAAATGAGAGAATACATTTTTAGAAAAGGAAATGAGATATGGGCAAGTGGGCAGTTGTGACGTACAATATGTGTAGGTCAGAAGGAAATGAAATAACAAGGACATAGCTCTCATCTTTATCAAGAAGTAAATTAATGAAGAAGAACATGTGGGTAGCAAGACATTATTTCATCTCATTAAAATATCTTGTGTTATTAAATAACTTGAGATAACATTTTGTCATAGGATGTAGTCATTGGTAAAGGAGAGTAAAATGATTTGTGTCCATAGCCACACCCATGGTGCAGTGTCCGGGGGTAAATAAATATTCAGATATGATGTGATTAAACAATCATGTGTTTATACTGAATGGCTACTGCATGCTGAATATATTCAGAAGAAATGTTTATTATACATATATGACAATATTTAACCTGATTGAGTATCTTTTATCATCATCCATTCCGCTAAAATGTAATGTGCTAGACTCTCACTTTCATGAGCAGAAAAGCCTTTCAAACAATTGTCTCAAATGATTTAATCAATTTTGTTCTGCATAAAAGGTGTGTTTAATACCTGCAGATGTGTGAAGGATTGAGTTGAATAATGCCCATTATGAGGCAAATATCACTCCTAGGTCATGGAGTATGACCTATGCTATGACTGACACATGACACTTTATACACTTAAATTTCAAGCCATTATCATACTCCTGCCCCTACGTCACACCACCATATACTACCATCACATGTATTTCATTTCATGTTTTATTGCTTTCCCTGGGACACCTATACCTGTACAAGTGTACTCAGTTTGTGTTATTGTGTTCAAACCATGAGCATTGTTTTTATTTAACCTTTCTTTTCTCTCTCTTTCTCAATAACAGGGCAATGACGCACAGACCCCTCACGTCGTAAGTATTATCTTTCATTAATGCCCTTCTTTGTCTTCAATTTCTTGTGTTTTATTGTTGTAGACAGTTGTGAGTGTAGAAATATAATGGGCCACTCTATAGTTGTACTTCAAACTGACTGCCTCTTTTGATAAATGAATATCTTTGTTTTCCTATTTTCTTTTCCCATTGCACATATTATTTCAAGTAAGAAAGTCAATAACACATATCTGTATTGTACCTTTTTAATTAATTGTAGTTTTGTATAGTGTATGTCCCATGATGCTGATGTAGTGTCCCTAGATGCACTTGTAAAAGGGTTTTGATATAATTACACTATCTTTAGATTCAGTAATCCAAAGATCTCATAATATGATATATGCAACTACATGTATGTAAACAGGAGTCTGTGTGGCGTAGACTAAAGGAAGTTTATGGTTACAGTAATACAATGAGTTGCATGGATATCTTGATAAGAAAGAAATGTGTTATAGAATCTGGATTTTTTTCTTTCTTTTCTTCCTGGTATATCCTGGGTGATAACAATATCCACACATATTTTACAAAATCCTTGTGAGATGTTACTCAATATAATATAGCCTTGCGGATTGCAAGGCTATACTATATGTGCCCTGTTGTGCTTTATGATATATTATGGTGTTCCGAAAAACAAAAGCTTGTAAGAGTGGGGGAATAATTGATGTCTCTCAAACTCTTTTGTTGATTAGGGTAGAAGATGAGGGTACATCATGATATACTGATCTTGCTATTTATTCATGCTGCATTAGGGGTTCATATATTTCAATTGCTGTTCTCTTCCCTCCCCTCCCCCCCCCCCCCCCCCTCTCTCTCTCTCTCTCTCTCTCTCTCTCCCTTTCTCTCTCTCTCTCTCTCTCTTTCCCTTTCTCTCTCTCTCTCTCTCTCTCTTTCCCTTTCTCTCTCTCTCTCTCTCTCTCTCTCTCTCGCTCTTAAAACTGTACATTGGTCTTCTGTGCAGTCAGCATGTCAATTTTTGCAATGGCATTGAATATTGTGATGGAAGATATGAGATGCAGTAGCTATGAACTCCCTTTTAGTGTCTTCTTCTTTTCCTTTTCATCCTGTCATCCTTATACTTCAGATATTTGTGCCATTGTGGGATTGAAATTGTCCCAAATTTATGATCCGTATGCTCTCTTTCAGTTCACAATGTGTTTAAAACCTTCTCTATTTATACAATGTCATGTACCATCAGACAAACCTTTCTGAAACTGATAATTACCCTGTATTATTAAATAAAAACAGATAGATGAGAGAAACAAATTGGTGAAATTTTGAGCAATATCCGATTAGTTTTTATTCTAATTTTGAATTTTTGAAGTTACCGTATTTAAACATATTATTTATTACATGTATCTGAACACTAAATTCAACCACTTTTTTAATTTTTTTTTTACTAAACAATATTATATTTTACTGAATGAGAGATAACTGAAGTGAACATACACATTGGGAAATTCTTGTTATGTTGAAATGAAGCAAACTCCACTGGGTTTACCTACATACCTTTCATGTGCCCCAGAAACCACTTTCCGTAATAGTTGCTTTAGTAGTCTCCTTTGATGTTATCTCCCATTTTACACAGATACGTATTTATCTGTCTGACCTGATTAATGAGGTGTGCTCTTTCTCTCTCATTTCGTGATAAACAAACCAATCAGAAACCGAGAGAAGTAACAACACTTAGTCCATCTATCTATCAAGCTAGCTGAACTGGCTTGCTTGTATAGGACCTTGTCTTTTTGTGATTTGCTTTTTCTTATGGGATTCCTAGTGCATGTTCCTTATATCATTGTTTCTTGATCTTCTCTTTGTTTTTTGTTTTTCCTGGGAATCGAGTTAACGTAGAAAGAAGAGCATATAAATAACTTAGAAAGAGTTTACTATTGTACACAGTCGTGCCATTCTTAATATCAACTTCTAATAAAAACGAGTCTCCCCTCTCTCTCTCTCTCTCCCCTCTCTCTCTCTCTCTCTCTCTCTCTCTCTCTCTATATATATATACTCTTATTCTCTCTCTCTCTCTTTATGTCTCTTCTCCACTTTTCTTCTCTTCTCTTCTTTCTGTTCATTATCTGAGCTTCTGCATTAACTTGAAACCAGTTTTTGTTTTTGTTCAAGCTCATTCTCTCGTGCCTTTAAGAGCACCCAAAGATTGATTACAAAGATGTAGCTTGCAATCTACCAGGCCTGGTAGAGTTTTTTTCTGTAACATCACATGAATACTTGATAGGATTGTGGTCATCAATCCTTAAAGTCACATAGGGTGCGTTTAATCGACACTTTTTCACCCTAGAATCACGGTTTCTAAAGACGTTTAGTTTAAAACGCAATGCGTTCAAGCGATTTTTTCGTCGGTCGTAAAAATAAACGTGTTTGAAAACACAAACATGAAACGCTGAAAAAGATGCGTTTTGTATCATGATTCTGCAGAATCACGGTCGCTAAAATTCGATTGAACGGACGGAGTTCTCAATCATGATTGTATGACGGAGCCTGTTCCGGTTTGGGCAAAAACCGCGCGCCTGCTTTTCATGCAATTTGCGTTTACTATACCATGCTCTTTATCATGGCCTGTTCCGTTATGTTATACCTTGTTTTCCTCTTTTTTTTCTCTTTCTGTCTTTCCTTATGTTATTTTTTGTTTCTTCCTTCTATTCTTATGTTATTCTTTGGTTTTTTCCTTCTATCACCTTCTCTTATGTTATTCTTTATTTTTATAATTCTATCACTTTCTCTTTCTGTCTTTCCTTATGTTATTCTTTGTTTCTTCCTTCTATTCTTATGTTAATCTTTGTTCTTTTCCTTCTATCACCTTCTCTTATGTTATTCTTTATTTTTATAATTCTATCACTTTCTCTTTTGTTATTCCTTGTTTCTTCCTTCTATGCTTATGTTAATCTTTGTTTTTTACCTTCACTCACAGTTTCTTATGTTATTCTTTGTTTTAATCATTCTATCACTTTCTCTTTCTGTCTTTCCTTATGTTATTCTTTGTTTCTTCCTTCTATCACCTTCTCTTATGTTATTCTTTGTTTTTTACCTTCACTCACAGTCTCTTATGTTATTCTTTGTTTTAATCATTCTATCACTTTCTCTTTCTGTCTTTCCTTATGTTATTCTTTGTTTCTTCCTTCTATCACCTTCTCTTATGTTATTCTTTGTTTCTTCCTTCTATCACCTTCTCTTATGTTATTCTTTGTTTTTTACCTTCACTCACAGTCTCTTATGTTATTCTTTGTTTTAATCATTCTATCACTTTCTCTTTCTGTCTTTCCTTATGTTATTCTTTGTTCCTTCCTTCTATCACTTTCTCTTATGTTCTTCTTTGTTTTTATAATTATATCACTTTCTCTTATGTTATTCTTTGTTTCAATCATTCTATCACTTTCTCTTTCTGTCTTTCCTTATGTTATTTCTTGTTTCTTCCTTCCATCACCTTCTCATTCTTTGTTTTATTATTGCGATCTATGCTCAAAACAGCAGTCGACAGTCGGCCGTAAACAATTCCAAAAAGCGCGCGCCGAAGTTGACCTATATACTTCCTGGGTCAAACTGCGAGTGTGATCTGCAGTGGCTGGGCTCGAAATGAGCTAGAATCAGCGTTGATGAAAAATCGCTTGAACGCTAACCGCAGTGACCTTGTTTTTTGTAACGGCGTTTTGATTTGTGATTCATGTTTGTGATTCTAGCTTCGAAAATTCGATTGAACGCACCCATAGAAGTCAGCTCTCATGGGGAATTCGACACCGTTCGGGTGTTACCCAAATAACAGGTGTTGTCAATCACCAGGGTTAGCCTTGAGTTTTATGACCATTATACCTTATGTAATGCTTTGCTTTTCCTTCGCCCGAATAATCTCCGAGCATGCTCCGAGAGACTGGGGGTAATTCTTGACGGGCCAACGGGTTTGCTGTGTGCAGATTTGTACTCCCATTAATGGTATTTCCACCAAGTCTGGTGTCAGCGAATTATAGCCTTCTGCACATGGAAACTGACTACCCACTCCCTTTAATGCTTCTCTCTGTCGCAGAGACAGTCCATTTTGAGGTTGCGATTTGAATCACTTGTAGGTCCATTAAATCAGTGTGATATCGTTGATGTGCAATTAGTCTGCAGTTCAAATGTTATGGAAGCTTATTAGAATCTTTCTTTTAACGATGCAATTAAGATGTGGTTTTGATAAGTAACCGAAATCAATTACAGGTTCTGTTGTGCTATTTGGCAGATCTGTAACTACTCTACAAGTATAAGGAAACAATGTACATGTATGATGTAGCTTGCCTTTTGGTAAGGATAATCGCGCAGGCTTCATTTAAAGCACTCTCATATAAAGTCTCACACTTAGTCATTTGGGTCCCAAATTCGCGCCACCGCAACTACGGTATTTAGTCATAGAGGGCAGCACCAGCAATGGGTGTATTTGCAAAGGTACTTCCAGTTTCCATACAAATACAAGAGGTCAAGAACTGGAAAGGCAGATAGAAATTATAGTTTTGGAACCAATAAACTATAAGTGACAGATTATGATGGTGCCTACATAGATCTCATATATACAAATAATACAAATAATAAATATACAAATAATTCATGTTAGGAAGTGCATTAGTGAATATGCAATGCAGAAGTTACTTGTTTCAGGACTTTTTTTTTACTTTGAGTCATGTAATGTGTAATACCTGTAATGTCTATCTTGTAAAACTGAGAATTGATTGATTGTTAGTGTGTACAGTGTACCTATGTATTAAACACATCTCTGTAGGAAATAATTTTTATCATTAGTGTACCATGACCAGTGCATTTAATTGCCAAACCTTATTGGCTTTTATTGGCTTTTATGGATGCACCCTTCTATTTGATCTATACCGGTAGTTTATATTTTCTTTGTATTTTCTTTACATTATAAATAATATTCCATTATTTGAATGAGATCAGAATAAAATCATAATTTCTTTGATATCTTTCATTCTCTGTTCTGCTCCAGGAGACTGAAATACATCATAGGCAGGTTTGCATCTGACTTCAGATGTGAGGTAAGACCATGTAATTTACATAATTTATGAAAGGTGTGTATGTAGATTGCCCTAATGCTACGTTTACACTATGTTCCCAGCGGCCACGGCAACCACGTTTCAGGCCACCGTGGACGAAACGGGATTGACGTGACACAACGCGGGGGACCGTATGGGCAAACGTGACAGGCCGTGATTGCCGTGGATACCGTGTCAGATTTTTAAACTGTCAAAAAATTTGCCACGGCGGTCACGGTGCAGATGAGAAACCTAGTAGGCCGTAATAAACCGGGGTGAACGTAACAAAACGTTACAGTCCGTAATAGGCCATAACAAAACTTGGGGGTGGTCCGTAGTGGGACTGTTTAAGCGCCCGGCACGCTACGGCGCGTTGCGTTCTACTACGGTCTGACACAACGCGAGGTCTCAGGATACCATGATTGCTATTGCTTGGGAGACCTTCTTTTTATACCGCCGGCACAAACGTGCTCCAAAGCTGCCCTGCGTCCACGTTTCATCCGTACAAAGCCTTGACTAAATGTGAAAAACGTGTCAGACCTTGATCAGAACGTGATAAACGTGAGGGACCCCATCAGAACGTGAAAGACCGGGAGGGAACGTTCTGGCGTCCGTGGTAGAACGCGGGCCGAACCGTAGTGCGCCTTGGAGCCTCCGGGACTCAGCATCCCCTTACCCCCACGGCCGTCACGGATACCCTGGTAGACCGTGAGAAAACTTGGCAAGACATAATAAAACTTGAATCCAGAGATAAAATTGGTCTAAATCTCACGGCGCACTACGTTTCGGGCAAACGGGGCTGCCGTGGCCGCCGGGAACATAGTGTAAACCTAGCATAACTTCCAGAATGCTAAGAACAAGGAAATACTTTGTAAACTCCTCACAAAGCTGTTCAAATTATATGTTTTGCAATATATATATATATAAAGGGTAAGGACTCATCTTACCAGGGCATTTAGAAAGTAATTAGTAATAAAGAGGAGATGATGTTGAGAAATTGGTACAGGAAATGAGAAAATAATAGCTTTGGGGGTTTAAGGTACAACAATGGGGTTTTCCTAAAGTTAGATAAAAATAGATCACAGAAGATGTCTTTTCTTGCTATTATGATTGCTTTACTATGATAGATGTGGTTCATTCACAAACCAACAGAATTCATGTGGGATTTAATTAACCTTGAAAGAATCAATATGATAAGGTGATAGTGATAAAGATGAGGACGATGGTGGTGACAGTGATAATGAAGAACATGATGATGATAAATGATGATGATGATATTAGAAAACGTACTGGTAGTGATTGAAATGATGATGACGATGATGACAATGTTTGTGGTGATGGTGATGGAGCTGATTACAACGATGACAATTAATGTTTCTGTATGTGTTGATTGCATTTTTGTTGTATTTGTCATGACTGCATGGCAAACATGGAGAAAATAACACACCAGAGGGATCGGGGACAGTGTACTTAATATTTGCAGACTTTTGGTGAATCTAGTGACTGGGTTATACACATTTTATCACTGAATAAAAACTTTCATGTTTCTTGACCATCAAAGGGAACTGAATATGGTTGCATAAGAAATGAAAGGTTTGTATTGCTATCATAGTTCCTCACTGATCTATTGTGTGTGTCTCTCTCTCACAGGTTCATACTGCTGTATGTGGTGTGCGTGATGGTAAGGCTGGATGGTTAGATCTCTACTGCCCATCAGGTCCTGCATGTGATGATGAAGGACAGCTATTCTCTCTCATGGTAAGCTTGCTCTCTCGTCTCAATCAGTCTCATTGAAAAATGACTATTTAATCACAGGGAAAGAGAAACTATTTGAAACAACGAAAGTGAAAGCAATATCATCAGGTAGTACTTAATGACAAGTGATAACAATTTGCAATATTAGATATACATGTTTGTAAGTGTTCATAGCTTTAGGTCATTTCTTTTGCCTTGTGTATTGTGTCTTTGCCTTGTGTGCAATTGTGAAATGACGCTTAACCAGAATATCCCCAGGGAGTTTAGCGTGTGCACTACTGATCAGTTGCTGATGAGCAATTGAATCCAATGACCAGGGAAATAATAAGTACAATGCAAAGCGCTTTGAAACCCAGTATTAAGCGCTATAAAAATGTGACTATTATTAGTATTAGTATTATTATTATTTATTTTACCTCCTTATGACTGAAATAGGACTTATGCAATATTATCATTTTACACAAAAGCTTTTCCAGTTCATGTGCTTGTCATGATAGTGACTGACATTGATATCCAACTACACGTTCCTTTGGCCCATTCTGTTACTCTGTTACATCTTTTACTTTTAATTCATTTGAAGTTTTCTCCATCTCATTCATCATTAATCTTAGTCTGTCCTTCTACTTTCTTGCTCCCATAGATACAGAAGCTCATATCCTGTTGCTGTAGAAGACGTAGATTTTTGCTGTCTGTCACACCACGCCTCTTTGAACCAGTTCTTCTGCTGGCTCTTAACGGCAACGTCACCTGTACTGAGGTGAGTATGGTGATGGTGTTGGTGTGGTGTTGGTGGAGGTGGTGGTGTGGTGTTGATGGAGGTGGTGAGGATGAGGATGATGATGATGATGATGACGATGATGATGATGATGATGATGATGATGATGATGATGATGATGATGATGATGGCGGTGGTGGTGATGGTGGTGGTGATGGTGGTGGTGTGGTGATGGTGGTGGAGGTGGTGATGATGATGATGATGATGATGATGATGATGATGATGATGATGATGATGGCGGTGGTGGTGATGGTGGTGGTGTGGTGATGGTGTTGGAGGTGGTGATGATGATGATGATGATGATGATGATGATGATGATGATGATGATGATGATGATGATGATGATGATGGCGGTGGTGGTGATGGTGGTGGTGTGGTGATGGTGGTGGTGGTGGTGGTGGTGATGATGATGATGATGATGATGATGATGATGATCAAATACTATTGATGCAAAGTACCTGTAAATGCTGCTATGATCATTCAACATTCCATCTCCACAGATGCTATGCTTGATGCTGGAGCTTGATGTCTTGGAGACAGAGGAACAAGAGATGCAGGTCATCCAGGCACTCAAGAGCATTGATGAGGGTCAGATAATGTATGATGCTCTCTGTGAAAGACAGCTGGCCCTCCGACAACTGGTTAGTTAGACACATTGAATGATTAGTGATTACTTATACCCCAGGCACAATTCAAGAATTCACTCCATACTGACTGATAACTGACTGATACTGATACTGACTGATAATTAACAAATATTGGCTGGGCATTTAGGATAAGGTTATATTTTGTTTGTTCTATTGTCAGTGTGGCATCAGTCCTGTCTGTGTGATTGGTGTATTAACAAGTTGTCAGATGTAACATTATTAGGTGTGAGATTCTGAAACCAAAACTTTGATTGAAAGTGTGTGACTGCAAACCTTGCTTCTCAATAAGGAAATGAAGATAATATTATTAATTTGATGGATTTTTTTCACTTAAGAGTCATTAACTCTTATAGCAATATCCAATGTAGGAAGGGTCGTAGTAAGATTTAAATTGAAATCATAGTACTAGCTTATGCATGTGTATGAAGAAAAATAATTATCATTTCATATCTAATATAAGTTTCCTATGAATGTGTTATTTTACCATCAGTGAACTGAAAGTTAGCAAAACATATCAAGAAGGAAGTACTGAAGGCTACTGACCCAATTAGAGTTCAGATATGTCTATTAGCATTTGCATTAATGTGGGAGAAAATGTGTGTGCGTTATCATTCTAGGGAAAGTTGCAGCAAAGAGAAGGAAAAGAACTTTAGCAATGCTAGAGATTTGGGTCATTAATTTTGATTACTAAAAGAAACCATAGAAAAGGTACTTTTTTTGGAACAAATTAAGTCAGAAAACATTTCTAAGAAAAGAAGTATCAGAGTAGTCTTTACAAGTCCAATACAGTCTGGAAGAATTCTATGAAAATAAAACACTGCACTTTTATGCCAAGGGCCTTGTCTTATGAAAAGTTGATATTAATTGCAACTTATTTGCTGTACAGAAGAGATGGGAGACTACAAACTTGCAGTTGGTTTGGATCAATCGTAACTCTTTATAAGACGGGACTAGGGTCACATTTGCTGTGGTGGCCGTGGAGTCACCACAGCATTCCAACAGGCACATACGGTAGCAGTCACATATGTTAGGGTACCGCACGGCCTATTTTGAATTTGTGAAGATAGAAAACCTGCAGCTGCTGTACTGCCTTTGAAGTGATGACGCACGCGGCACGGTCGCCTTAGGGCGTCCCTGTGGCAGCCATACAGTTTTTGACAAATACCAAGGCAGACGCAAGGTAGACGCAAGGTCACCGTACCCCTGACCTTGTCGTGGAACCGCTCTACGGCATGGCTACAGTGTGTCTTATTGTCTAATGACAACTTAATGAAATAAGCTATAACTCTGGGTTATAATCCCACGATGACCCGTACGGCCTGTAAAGATAGGGATACTCTCTAGGGTGACTCTGAGGCCACCACAGATCCTCCAAGGCTGTGGCAGGTATCTCTTGATTTTTGGAGCTTACGGCCACCGTAACCTTGCCGTAGAGCAAATGTGACCTAGGCATTAATTTAAAATGTAATGGATAATAGTGCATGGATACTATGTGAAAGTCAAATTCACTTTCTAAACACAACAAGAGGAGTAATTGCATCTTTCCACATTTTACATTCAAGTTCAGAAAGGGTAAATGTTATTTGGAATACTTTTAAAAGATATAGACATTTTCCCTTAAAGATAACACACATAATTTGTGAAATATAGAATGAAAATTATTGCTCCATTGTGAATATCTGAGGTGAAGCTTAGATTTTTTCAAAAAGTTAATATCTAGTAGTAGTACCGTATATATGTTTGTCACATCAAGGAATCAGTGTAAATGTTTATTAACTAAAGCTGTGTGGACATCTGATCATACCCACTGCTTTACCACTTGATCCAAACAGCAAGAGAAGGGTGGGCCTAAGTCCCTTTCTCTGCCATCTAAATCAACGGATGTGGATGTAGCAAAGCTTTTCAGTGCTGGACCATTGGGTAATCTAGAGAGTCTGAACTTGGCCTTTACGCATGTAACAAGCGGATGTGCTGAGACACTCATCAAACTACCCAATCTCAAACAACTCAATCTCTGGTCTACTCAGGTAAGATTATATAACAAACATTACAGATAAAACTAATAAATCTAGTATGCAGGGCCTTTCATACAGAATCATCTAGCAACATATTTCACACGCTCAAGAGGAGAATGCATATGTATATATTATACAAATGATTCACAGGTTTGAGTGCGTCGGTAGGGATTGTGTGCATAAGGTACCTTTGAATGGTTTGAACCCACAAGGCGCAGCCAAGTGGGTTTTAGACCAAATTCAAAGGTACCGCGTGCACACAATTCCACCGACCCACAAGTTAATCCTGTGCATCATCTGTTTTATAAGATAGGGCCCAGAAAATTGTCAGAAATACAAAATTTTCTTATTTTACAGATTTACCAGATGCATGGCAAAATCATGCATTACCATTATCATGCATTATCAAATGAGAATTATTTTTTAATAAAGGATATCGGTGGTATCGATCGCTGATATTGCGTGCATCCAGTAAAAATAATTACATGGTAATTGACCAATCAGATTGCAGGGATTCTTCGACCCATCTTATAAATATACATATATATATAGAATGATTTCTAATAATGATCTTTTAGTGTGTTAATGATTAATATGTATTTTAAATGCTGTCATCCAGAATTATGCCAGATTGTTACTCTTCTCTTCTCTTGCAATAATTGTTTCCAATGTATATTCCTTGTATATATGGTGTGTCCTTTGGTTATACTAATAAGTTAAAAGCCAGTTGAATTGATGAGCGGTTGATGCAGTCAAGGCTCTTGATATTAGGGGTGAAACAAGGTTACCTTGAGTATGTTTTATTTGTCTCTTTGTCCATTAGTTTGGTGATGGTGGTTTGGAGCTCATCACAGAGCACATGCATGAGTTAGAGAGTCTGAACCTATGTGAGACTCAGGTTACCGATGATGGACTGAGATGTCTGGTAGATCTCAAGAAACTCAACCATCTCAATCTGAACAGCACTCCTCTCACCACTCGTACCTTCAGGTTACTCACTGTAAGTATGACAAACCTCTGGCAATGCATGCCTGTACTGTAGTGTGATTGGTTTGAAATCTTAACAACGAGATGAGACTGGGAAGTAGCCTGCCACTCATTCCTTTGGGTATGATTACAAATGCCTTTAACGGACAAAACTTTAGAAATTCTGGATTATTTTTAGGAGAATGCTTGGCTTCCAGATTGAATTGTCATCACAGATTCATGTTTTATCTCTATCTCGAAATGTAAACAAAAGAGGTGGAATTGTCTAATAAAAATCTGGTCAAAATTTAGAATTAGTGTATTATTTTGGTTGTAGGTCTTTTATAAATGTGTTAGTTTGAATTATACTTACTATTCTTCCTAAAACAAACTGAGTAGTTACACCATATGACTGATGATTAATTTTTTTTTCTCATCAGGGAAATTTGCCTGAATTGAAAACTATGGACACAAGATACACTGATGCCTGAGGGCTAGACACCGGCTGGGAAACTGTGCTTGGATCTTCTTATGTCAACTCACAACTCACAAACATACAAAAGAAACAACTCTAAAGCTTAAGCTGATATCTTCATGGAAGCCTTGCATGTCATTGAACAAAGGGTGAAGAAAGGGCACGAACTTAAAGACATTAATAGGAGCTTTTCTTGATTAGAATTCTATGCTCTGCAGGAGTGTGTTGTAATCCCCATATTGTGTCTGGCCCACATGGATTACTCGGAGCATCAGAAGCCAGTGGAAATCTACAGCAGCTAGGAGCTGTGTATACATGTGTGCAAATCTTGACAAGAGGCAAACATTAATGAAAGAAATCCAAGTGGAAATATGTATGAATATTATGTCTTATTTTTTATTTTTACCCTTTTTCATTGTTAGAATTGAAAAAGAGTGTTTCATCAAACCTGTAAGAACATGTTTACAAATTCAGAAGATATGAATCATTCTTTTCAGATTTTATAAAGACATTGGTCAGTTTTTGCATTGGTCAGATTCTTATTTTTTTGTTTTGTCAATGAGGTGTAAAATCATTTAAACATGTTATATCTTGTTTTGTTTTATGTAAGGCAAGTCTGACATATATATATAAGATGCCCCTATTCTCAGATTATCAGAGGTGATACCGGTTAACAGTCAAAGCTCCTTTCAGTCATATTTTATGGTTGCTTTCATGTCTTTACTTTGATTTTCTTTCATTCATGAAATAGAAATTTGCAATGTATGACAAGAGAATTCTATATATGATCATTTATATCACACAGAGATATTAGATATTAGATATACTGTATATGTGAAAGACATACGGTATGCTTCAGATTTTTATGAAATCGTAGAATGTCGAAAATGCAGTACTGCTTGAAAAAGAGAGATTATAGCCCGGCTTAGGCTGTGCTTTTGTTCATTTTATTAATGAATATGCTGTAAAAGGGGTTTCAGGCATTAATGTTCTTCTACAATAGAAAATGCAAACATTTTGATACACGGCTCATGTGATTTGAGAATTAGCTGCATATTTTGCTCACAAAGTTGGTGTATCAATGTTTAGTTCATTACATAATGTTTAAGTTGAAACAATCAGTCATTTGCTGCAATGCAAGTACCGGTATTACAATTATTTTGAAGAATGTTTGTAGTTGACTCAAATTAAGCCATTCCTTTAGACTTACTTATTTGAATATTTTCTGAGGGAGTATGATCAGACAAAGATTATATGGGGGGGGGGGTGTAATGTAAGGACCTGGTAAGCTTTTGAAGTTTTGTTTGCAGTGCAAGATTAAATACATACTATAGTCTATGATCTATAAAAGCACTACTCGGTGAAATACTGTCCATTAGTTAATTGTACTTACCTCTGCATTATTTGGTTGTTCTTATCAATGAGAGTGAAACAAATCAAATAGCCCGTTATCATAATCATGCAGAATCATAATCATGATCGTAAAAGGTCATGGAATCATCAAGAGTTCTGAAAGTCATTAAAAATGTACCAGCCCTTAGAATTAACATGTATTTTAGAACTGATTATTTAGACAAGTACACATTTTAGTGCAATATTATATGTATTGAACAAACTCTTTTATAATGTAGATGTAGGTGTAGTCTGGAGACCAAACCTTTTTCTCGTGTTTTGTGTCCCGAGTACCATTTCTTTTTCATCTATTTTATTTTGTATTTTACTGTTATTTAAATTGCCTTTGAAATAAACCTATTTTTGTAAGATATAATATTTTATTCCAATTGAGGATTTCCTCTGAATTGCTCCAAACCTGATGCTCATCTTCACCGGATACATCAAGGTGTCACTTCTTCAATATTCAAAATGGAAAGATTGTTTTTCACACATCGTTTTATAAATAAGAAGATAAAAATTGAACAAAAGAGAATAAACATGATTATGCATGTTATGGCAGTTACTTTACAGGACTGATTTTTATTTCACATTAGTTGATGTAATATTTTCCCTTGCTGATATTTTAATGTCTGTAAGGGAAACTGTGAGTCGTGCATCTCTCTTTCATGTTATTATCTAGAGTATTGTTTCTTAGAGTATATTTAACATGCAGTTAAAAGAAACAAAATCTAATCATGTTTGATCAGCAACTCTCTTTCAAAGTCAATCATGCAAAAGAAATTGCATGTAATTTTATGTTCATTTATGGTGATGTCATCTAAAAACTTTCTTTTTTATTTCTTTTTTTTTGTATAAAGAAGAGGACAATGGTTGTATATTACTCACCAAATTATCCAAGATAAGTCTACTACTAGGTACTGCTACTAAAAAGCTGTGAGAGAAAGTGAATTTGAGTAAAAGCCTTTTTGAAAATGTGTTGTGAAGTGAGGGAGAAGGAACCCTTTTTTTTCCTTTTGATAACCATACAATGTACAGGTACACTTTTATGAAGAAGTTGCAATTTGTTTTTATTTCTTTTTCCTATGTTTTGTGATTGTAAATAAATTGAAAAAGAAGCATTTGAAATTGTGCATTTACGATTTATATTAAATGATGCAATTTCAAGAAAACTTGTTGACATTTCACTTATACAAGAAAGGTCATTGTAGTTTTGTGAATTGAAATTCAAAGATTATTACATTATGGGTAAGAGAACATCTTCATGATCAAATAAAGGGGATTAAACAGAATGAATCGGGGAAATATGAATAAATGTATTTATCTTGTAAATAGAATATATCATTACAAGCTATATTTATTAAGAATTTGACTTTACCATTGTTTTGTAATGAATTTGCAATGTTTGTCACATGTAGTGTGTAAGATATTTGCAGATGTCAGTTATATGTCAAATAAGTCTTTAACTTTTTTTTTCTTCTTTCGATTGATGTAATATTTTGTAAACATTTATGGAAGCTTTGTTGTATGAAGGAGAACGTGCTAGTTTTTATTTGTTAACTTCCCTTTTGTTCTATGTATATTTTATAAGCAATTTGGACTTGAAAATTGCATCCAATATGTGAATATGAGTACTCTTAAAAGCACTAAGGTAGAAAACAGTGATGTAAATTATGTAAGAAATTGTTCTAGCATTACAAGTTGGACACAAAGTGCTACAGCTGGGAGGATCAAGAGCAAACGTCTGTATGAGTGTAGTCTGCCTTATTTCAAATGTTACTTGAATGTTGAAGCAGACTGCATTCATGGTAACCATTAATTAGAATCTCAGGCACCAATCAATGAAGCTAACATACAATCAGCGTACGTCTGTCTGCTCCTAGCAAACGGGAGCAAAACAAAAACAAAAACCAACATTTTGTAAATTGTATTATGTGTGTACATTTATTAACAAAGAGTTCCATATTGCCTGCAAATTGCTCAGCTCATCTATGTACACTTAATGTCCATCATAGATTGTTCTTCAACTATGTGTGAAGATTCTCTCTAGTTGTAGCCTTAGTTGTACTAAATTTTAAGTAATCATCAGTGGTAAGTTGACGTAGTATGATCTTCAGAACCAGATAATGGTATCTCAATTCTTTGAGTCACACCACATTTTTCAGATTTTTGGCTAGTACCATATTGATCAATACACCTACCTGTAAGAAGTTAACTCACTTGACAACAACTGAATTGTCTGCTGCACAGTTTGTATGAGGCACTAGTATACAATGACAATCATATATCTAGCTGAAATTGTCATAGAGGCAGAATTAACTGAAATAATTGAATATTAGTAGTGAAAAGGAAACACAGACACAGAAAATTGTATTAAGCACTTAATGAAATATATAGTTTACTTTGTAGGTGACTGCATAGTTTATATTGAACAGATGATCCAAATAAATGTGCAGTTGATCCTTGTTTGGAAGATAATGTTTAGAACCCAGGTTGAGCATTATAAACCGTGACATCTCTCCCAGGATGTGTTTTCAAGTTATATCAGCACTAATACATCTTCTCGGTTTAATAACAGAAATGTTCACTTTTTACATAAATGCGATGCCTCATATTTTAGATGGTAAATATATATCTATTTCTCAAAATGGAGATCAGAAATGAAATCATTTTCTTTATATAAGAATAAGCTCTTGTTACTTGTAACTTCCTTGCCATATTATTTTTTTCTTCTTTTTAAGTACAGCTGTAAAAATGTAAGAGATTCTATTTTCGAAAAATGTGATTGTGTGTCCTTATAAGTAATGCTGTAAATTATCTGTTGTAGCTCGACCATTACCACCTCTCATTCTATTTCTCTTCCTTTCTTTTCTTCATCTCTTTTCATTTAACGTGCTCATTTGGCACTGATAATGTATCATTTTAGAAATACTCGACATCAAGTTCAAGTGTTTTGGCACTAATTTAAACTGTGGACTAAACTTAATCTACAAGTTTAAACCTCAGAGCGAACTCAAGTGCATTTTTAGGAATACCAATCTGAATACATGCATACAAGGATAACTTGGATTTTTAGCCTTTAAAGTATAAATCTTTTTCTAAATGTATTTATAGAGTGATATACATGGTGTTGAAAGATGCTCAAAGTTGTTTTTGGTTTCTATTTAAAGGTGCTATTTCTTAGTGAAGCAATGCTATAAAGTACGGCAATCGTTTACACATGATAGAGCTGAAAGTAGTACATTTTGAATTTGATTTTTTTTTTTTTTTTTTTTTCTTCATAAAAAAGGTTGTAGTTGACCAAAATAATAATCTGAAAGGATTGATGGTAATGATACTTTGGTTTTATGAATGTAGGGAGATGGCTTGATAACCATTTTTAAGACATCCAATCTACAAACTTTGAATATATATATCCTAGTAGCTAGGCCATAGATTCTCCTCATCAGTTGGAACTTTGTTGTAAGATCAGAAATATGATTTTCTGTTCAGTTCCAAACTTTTGTTGAAGAATTTGAACATTTTTTTGTAGTGAAATAGCTGATCTGTCCTAGTGGCTAGCAATCACATTCAGAAGCTGATGAAGCTGTATCATAAAAAAATTAATACTCTGATACAAACATTAGAAACTTTATTTCTTCAAAAAAAGCAAATTACTCAAATTTGTAGTTTTTGGTAGCCAGTGATGGGATGTGCGCCATGTTGAATACAGTGGTTGCTTTACTGGACAAACAGGACGATTTCTACAATATACGGTAGATATATCATAAAGAAGATCGCTTATCAATTATTTTTCCTTTTGATTGTTCGGCTTTTCACTACTACATGGCAGGGTTTGAAAGGATAGTGATTTGAATTTATAGTAACATCTATAGCAATGGACATGTAGACAGATTTTTATTTTGCTTTTAAGTAGGAGAGGAAAAGAGAGAGAGAGAGAGAGAGAGAGAGAAATAGAGATGGAACTGCTCAAAACTTGGTGAACATCAGAATTTTCTCATTAGATGTAATCTATCATAACGCTATTGATATGTGATGTTTAATGCGGTGTAAGGTATGATGTTTTGTCATTATTGAGCTACTTTGTATGTTCATATTCCTGTAATGTTTGTAACAATTTGTAACAATGAAATTTTCTTTACATTTTTATTTTTCTTCTATTATTTTCTGTTTTGTGGCTGTTTAATATTGAATAAAACATCATTTCTGGAGCAGAAATAGTGAGATGTTTTACGTCATATTTATTTCTACATTATAGACTTATATTATGAGTGTGTTGCCTGTGAGTAAATTATAAAGAAATAGAGTGCATTATTACTTGTCCCTTCATCCCCTTTCATGAAGTGACTCAAACGCATAATTCATAATTATGAATAAGGACCAAAGTAAATGTCAGTTTAAAGGGCAATCCAACCCTTGTAATAAGTTCATTTGAATGGAAGCAGAAAAATCAGACACAGAATGGCGGAAGTTTGAAATAATCGAACCAATATTAAGAAAAATATGAATGTTGGAACTATGAGATCACTACAGTTATGTGAATCTCAGATTGGCAATAGTGATGAACAACTCTGCTGTAAGTCATGTACAAAACTATCACTTATTTCTGTTTTTCTCCCAAGTGCCTTCACCCTTGGGGCACTACTCAAAAAGAAATTATGGACAGTATATCATTAACATGTCCTCTAAATATAAAAGACCATCCCGAGTCATACATTTTGAAAAATTGAAATGTTAGTCATTTTCTAAGTTGGAACAAATAAGGAGAGTTGTCCGCCACTTCATCACAGAGGTATGTATGTCCACTTTTATATTGCTAGGAGACAATGTGGGAATAAAGGGTAACCCATAACGAGTTCAGCATTAGTATCTTTGTGGACCTTTTAATTTGCCTCCTCCCCCCCCCCCCCCCCCCCTCAACCAAAAAAAAGGAGAACCAACATGAAGTATAGAGACACTTGTATATGTTACAATAGTTCATGAATTGAAGAGAGTTGCATAAAGTATGACATCAGAAGACAAGTAAGATATGTAAAAGTAAGTAGTGACGAGAGAGAGAGAGAGAGAAAGAGGGGGGGGGGGTGTAATGACATGCGAGGATGAATGATGAATCTGAAGAGTGATCTGCTAAAATTCTACTTACTCTTTCTTATCTAGTCTTTCCCACTCTTGCATTTCATGCTCTCCTCAATGTACATTCACTTTTAACATTATCTCACTTCATATATCCTCCTCACATTTCTCTCGCACCTTCTACTCAACTGTATCTCTGCCCTCCTTTAATACTTACAAGGAAAGTCAAGAACTTAGTTTTTACCTCGCACACTAACTTTGATATAACATTTCTAGCTCTGCTGTTATATTCATTAACAATTCTTCAAGTTTCAGATACATGTATATTTGATCTGAATGAGGCAGATAAAAGCAGATTTCCACTTCTTATGAAAACCTTGGAATCTGCTAAAAGTATATGACATAGCATTTAGACCGCATCAGTCTCTTCTAGTCTGTTTGCCTAAATGTTACAAGCACAGCACAGCTAGAAATGGCAAGTTAGTGTGCATGGGTAAAATAAAGACGATGAAAAAGACATTTCTAATATAATGTCAAGTAAAGACAAGAGCGAGTGCTCTGTTTCACCCGTGACATTGCTCTTGCTCCAATGTGTTAAATAGGAAAAAAAAATACTAGTATTACTTGTAACAATTCTCCACAAAATTTGCCTTTCTAAAGTTAACAAGTTGTCTTAAGCATCCAATTCAATATTTTATCTCTATATGAAGTCATCTTTCAGTGCTTATACATGTATTTCAAATTCACTTCAGAAATGTGTAATTGCAATACTATTTTTTTTTAAATTCATAGCATAAATCAGAAAGATAGATAATTGTTATCTATGTAAGGCTTCCAAGTGGTACAATAAATCAGTGTATTCAATATCTTTAGCGCTGTACCCCGATGACAGATCGATCAATATTGTTTTTGTATTGCTCTGTCATCACGGAACTTCAACTGTCAATACAATATTGCGTGATTATAAAATTTTGTTATTTTGATAGTCAGCCTGATATAGATAATAATAATATTGTATGGATCTGTTTTCATGTGATACAAGAATAAGAATATATTCCTCTTGTTATGACAATATATTTTTGTATCACATTCAAAGCCATCCAATATTATATAATTATATGTTTCTTGATAACTTACAAAACAAGTCTATATAGCCTATGAATACCACACTAATTGCCTGAAGCCTTAAAAGAATGATGAAAACAGTTTTCTCAAGTTCTCTTAATGATGAAAACAGTTTTCTCAAGTTCTCGTAATGATGAAAACACAATTGCACAGAATCGAACCAAGCTTACACAGAATATTCAAATTTACATCTAGCATCCGCACAAAAAAGTATGTAGTAAAAACTGGGTGCTGGGATAGAAAGTAGGAACGGTCCCCAATATGTGTACAGGCATAGAACATGTTGCCCAGTGCGTTTTTCACACCTCCAGCAAGTTTCTGTTATTTTGTTTACATTAGCGCATCCGGATATCCCACCTATTAAATGATAAAGGATGCAGAATTATTTCAAGCTATTTTTTCCTAACACATGTCCATATTACCACACCTCAGAATTCAAACTTCTCAAACACACCAGCATTCTCTCCGAGACAAGTCAAAAGAACCACACCTCAGAATAAAACTTCTCAAACACACCAGCATTCTCTCCGAGACAAGTCAAAAGAACCACACCTCAGAATTAAAACTTCTCAAACACACCAGCATTCATTCTCTCCGAGACATGTCCATATTACCACACCTCAGAATTAAAACTTCTCAAACACACCAGCATTCATTCTCTCCGAGACAAGTCCATATTACCACACCTCAGAATTAAAACTTCTCAAACACACCAGCATTCATTCTCTCCGAGACAAGTCCATATTACCACACCTCAGAATTCAAACTTCTCAAACACACCAGCATTCATTCTCTCTGAGACAAGTCCATATTACCACACCTCAGAATTCAAACTTCTCAAACACACCAGCATTCATTCTCTCCGAGACATGTCCATATTACCACACCTCAGAATTAAAACTTCTCAAACACACCAGCATTCATTCTCTCTGAGACAAGTCCATATTACCACACCTCAGAATTCAAACTTCTCAAACACACCAGCATTCATTCTCTCCGAGACAAGTCCATATTACCACACCTCAGAATTCAAACTTCTCAAACACACCCGCATTCTCTCCGAGACAAGTCCATATTACCACACCTCAGAATTAAAACTTCTCAAACACACCAGCATTCATTCTCTCCGAGACAAGTCCATATTACCACACCTCAGAATTCAAACTTCTCAAACACACCAGCATTCATTCTCTCCGAGACATGTCCATATTACCACACCTCAGAATTAAAACTTCTCAAACACACCAGCATTCATTCTCTCTGAGACAAGTCCATATTACCACACCTCAGAATTCAAACTTCTCAAACACACCAGCATTCATTCTCTCCGAGACAAGTCCATATTACCACACCTCAGAATTCAAACTTCTCAAACACACCAGCATTCATTCTCTCTGAGACAAGTCCATATTACCACACCTCAGAATTCAAACTTCTCAAACACACCAGCATTCATTCTCTCCGAGACATGTCCATATTACAACACCTCAGAATTCAAACTTCTCAAACACACCAGCATTCTCTCCGAGACAAGTCCATATTACCACACCTCAGAATTAAAACTTCTCAAACACACCAGCATTCATTCTCTCCGAGACAAGTCCATATTACCACACCTCAGAATTAAAACTCCTCAAACACACCAGCCTTCATTCTCTCTGAGACAAGTCCATATTACCACACCTCAGAATTAAAACTTCTCAAACACACCAGCATTCATTCTCTCCGAGACAAGTCCATATTACCACACCTCAGAATTAAAACTTCTCAAACACACCAGCATTCATTCTCTCCGAGACAAGTCCATATTACCACACCTCAGAATTCAAACTTCTCAAACACACCAGCATTCATTCTCTCCGAGACAAGTCAAAATAAATAAAAGAAACGCTAACAAAAATTCAAGTGAACACACTTTTCTTTGTTGTTAAACATCATTCAAAATCTCAACAATATTTCAACAATATTTCAAATAGAAATGAAATTGTTAACAATAGCCAAAGGAAATGTATATATCTACGGACAGTAGAAATGCATCACCCTCATAACTAGCATTTCCAAAGAGATCCAGAAATTGGCAGATCAATAAGGAATACTTAAATAATTTCTTATTTACAGTGCCACAGTGCACAGAGATAAAAATTGGTTAGTTGGATGACACATAATTATTTGCAATATAGGAGTCGACAATTCAACAGACAGATATGTTTTGACAAATTATGGCTTTACAGTGAGAAAGATGACTACAGCAATACCTTTTAGTTAAGGTATTGCAGAGTTTCTTACATCAAGTTTCTATCAATAGGGTTTTGCTAGTTACTTTCGGTCTTCAACGTCGTAATATTACATTTCTCAATTTAGAGTCTTTCAGGAAAGTTAGATATGCAACAATGCCTAACATCTAATTTCTTTAAAAACATTTGTAAGTAGAGTAAATGTTTAATAAATACCATCTTTCAGAGATTTCTAGCTCTTCATAGCACTTATCTGAAAAAGAGCGATGTGTTCAAAACATATATAATATATCCATATTCTATCAACTCAAATGTACATAAATAGTAATCAAGTCATCTGATAGGTACATGTATCTGTATTTATCCTGTCTTTCTTTTCCCTACCCTTGTAATTGTCACTCACCAAGGAATGGGCATGAACCTTGCTATCACAAGCATACCAGTTTCCTTCCTAAACTCTTGATGATGATGAATTATTTTGTACCAAAGAGAATCTTTCTAGCCATATACATACTGAGGTCTGATGTATTTCAAATGGGATGACTTGATACTAGGATTATTGGGTCACACTCTTGATGGGTATTGTAGGGGGGGGGGGTTCATGCTGTTGGTGGACGATATGCTAGCTTGCGAGACTTGAGAACAGACCACTTGTGCCTCTTAGTGTAGTAGGCAACGCCTAGGATCATACTTAGAACCATCAGTGCCTGGAGGGGGAGACAAGCACAGAGTGAATGAGTACAAGCAAGAAAACACATACATACATGTATCTCATTTTCCATTAATAGTTTATCTTTGTTGTTGTTGTATTTCAATTGATCAATAGTAATTTAATTTCATAATAGATCAACTAATTGGCATATCAGAGGTGAATCAATCAATCTTCTAAACCTTAATAAGTCAATTTTTAAGTTGATTATACCAAACAAAGTGATTTAATCAAGAAGAAAGAGTTACTTGTAATTGATAAATCAAATTTGTTGTAGCTTTGACATTTGTATATATATTGAGAGAGTCACGAAACTTGTTATTTGACAGAGTATTATTCATGATGAGTAGATAACAATTAATCATGAAAGTAAATGACATACCTTGAGACCCATCCTCTTGCGTTCATCATGTTCTGGTTCTGAAGCCCAACGGAGGAAGGTACTCACATCTTTAGCAATCTGTCCCATAGTGGCTGGAGTGCCTGTATACATCATAAAATTCAATCTGTCAATCTTACTCTTAGTATAACACTCTTATTATTACAATAATACATGATCCCACATTCAGAGCTTGATTCTTTTTCTGCCTGTGAACTGGGAATGAGTCACTTTAACATAAACAGCATATGATTAATTCAAACTTCATTATGTAATGGCATTTAAAACAAAAATAATGAGGAATTAAACACCGGTTTAAGTGGTCGGCAAAGTCTTTATTAATCTTTAGCACAAATACCACCGCAACCCTGTTAATGCAGAACCTCTCTGCTATCAATAACGAGGTCCTGTATAGAATGAATATGCACAGATTGCATTGGTAGGCACAGGTTTGAGGTTTGCCTTCTATAATGATAGCCTACATACAGTTGACTTCAATAAATTAGTCTGATAACTGACTTACTGGGGAAAGGTAACATTCTAACTTAATACTGAATGAAGATGAAAAAGTTCATTTTTAGGCCCATTTTGTTTTTCATCTTCTATGAGAATGTTTAGAAAATAAGGCCAAGGTGTATTGCATTCACGATTTAAACAATATTAATACTTCATGTTTTCTATAACCAGACGTTCAAAATAATTTCTTAATGGTCAATAAATATGAGTAAAGAAGGAGATTCTTATCTCTGAGCGACTCACCGTCTTCATATTCAATGATTTCATTGTAGATAGGAGGAGCCATGCCAATAGCTTGTCCAGGGAAGTATGGATTGTAATATAGATCACCCTTGACCTCTACACCAGCAGGAGGTTCACAGTATCCAGTCAGAAGAGCAAAGATGTAGTTCTCGTTACCATGGCGAGCAAGAGCGATGTAGCTCATATCAGGTGGGAGTGCACCTGTCAGAGGAGAGGTTGAGAGCAATGTCATATCAGAACTGGCATAACACTCGCTACAAGTGATTAAATGATATTAGTTCGCATGTGGATATTCCACTGATGAAGATTATGAGCACAATAAAAACAGTTTTGGTTTTCAAACTAAAGGAATACAACAGGACCATGTCAATCATGTCTAATATCGATCTAAACAAATAGCTGGGTAGTACAACACTAAAAGGGCCATCTCATTATCATTTCAATTTTTAAAATTGCCCTCAAAAATTAATTTATTGTTCCTTGTTCTTACATCTCAAGTACAATGCATTCTCCAAAAAGACACATGTCGACAAACTCATTGTAGATGATCGATCCATCAATAATAATTATAACATTGCCAATGAATTCAACGATTTTTTAATCAATATTGGTCCGTCTTTAATGCAAAATAACCAAGATACTGATACCAACTCTACATGTAATTATTTGCAATATTTAGAAAGAAATAATCAATCTGCTTTTTTTATGCCGATTACTCCAAAAGAAATAATTGATATTGTTTGTAATCTTAAGAATCGATCGAGTACTGGTTTCGACGAAATAGATATTTCCATAGTAAAAAAAGTGTTCCACATTATTTGTTTTCCGTTGTGCAATATTTTCAATTCTTCGATGATGTCAGGAATCTTTCCAGATAATTTAAAAATCGCCAAGGTGATACCTGTATTTAAAAGTGGTTCTACTGCAAATACTAATAACTATAGACCTATTTCTGTGTTACCTGTATTCTCTAAGATCTATGAAAAGTGTCTCTATAATCGATTGTTTAAATTTCTTGATCATTGTAACATAATATCAAATAGTCAGTATGGTTTCCGCCCTGGGTACTCCACATCTTCTGCTTTAGTTGATTTTGTCTGTAAAGTGTGTAATGCACTTGATAAAAAGAAAAACTTGATTGGATTATTTCTTGACCTGAGTAAAGCTTTCGATACCTTATATCATTCAATTCTGTTATATAAATAAAATAATTATGGTATTCGTGGTGTTCTTTTAGATCTTTTTAAAAGTTATCTGTCTAATCGTAAGCAGTATGTGTTTGTAAATAATCATGAATCTAATTCAGAGTTCATCAGATGTGGAGTACCCCAGGGATCTATACTTGGTCCTCTTTTGTTTCTTATTTATATGAAAGATATTTGTAACTCATCTCACATACTTCAATATATATTATTTGCAGATGACACCAGTCTGTTCTTTAGCGATCATAATATTGAAAGTTTGATTATTCATTTCAATCGTGAAATAATCAAAATTAATTCATGGCTAATTTCTAATAAGTTAATTCTAAACATAAATAAAACCCATTACATGATTTTTTCCAACAAGTCGATTGATTATGATGATATAGTTGTTTCGTTGAATGGTAACTTTATTGATCGTTGTTCTTCTTTAAAATTTTTGGGTGTCACTATTGATAGTAAGTTATCCTTTAATGAGCATGTTAAAGTCATTTGCACAAAAATTTCTAAAAGTATAGGTATTCTAAATAAGTTAAAGCATTTCCCACAAAATATACTCAAAATGATCTATAATTCCATTATTTCGCCTTATTTTCAATACTGTAACCTAGCCTGGAATTCCTCGCCTACATATTCAATGCTACGTTTATACAGATTACAAAAAAGGGCAGTGAGAATCATTTCGCATGCGAATTTTCTTGCCCATACAAAGCCTTTATTTAATAACCTGAATATGTTGAATATATTTGATTTTTCTGATTATGAAATTGCAACTTTTATGTACTTATGTTTTAAAAATTACATACCAAACAGTATTTCAGAAATGTTTTGTTATAATGCCGATGTACATTCTTATAATACACGTGGAGCTTCAAACTTTCATTTACCTAAAGTACGCACCTCTCTAGCTAAAAACTGTATTTTTTTCAAAGGGCCCAAAATCTGGAACAGTTTACCAGTACATATTAAAACCAGTCCATCACTAAATGTCTTTAAAAAGAGATATAAAACTTTATTACTCAGTAGATATATTAGAAATGTTTGATCAGGTTTCTTGTTCTGTTTTTTTGTTGATTTGTTTTGTCAGTTTTGTTTTTGTTTTTTTAGTGTTTTAGTTTGGTTGTTTTGTTTGCTGTCAATGTAAGAAACAAAAAACAATATTTTTTTTTTGTTAGTTTTTGTTTGTTGTTATTCGTTTGGGTAAATATACTTGTACAATGTAGTTATTCTGTAAATTTTCAATCTGTTCTTGTACTCATACTCTCTTTTTATCCTAATTTCAAATTTTCATTTTTGTTTGTAGGTGGCAGCACCAATAAGGCATTTCCTTCCTTTCTAGCTGCCTCCTCATTCACATAAATACTCACTTTTGCTATGTTTTTGTCCAGATCACCTTATTTTGTACTATTATCTTATGTAATGTTTGTTTATTTTGACTATATATCATGTGATTTTGTATGTTATTGTATCTAAATGTTTTTTATGATGAATGGAATAAACTTGATTATCTTATCAAAAATCCTTGAACGTATTATATTTAAAAGACTCTATAGCCATCTGTCTAGAAATAGCATTCTAACAAAATACCAGTTTGGATTCAGACCCAACCACTCCACGGAACTGGCACTTTTACAAGCCTTAGAGCATATAACCTCATGTTTAGATAAAAAAGAATATACTTTAGGGATATATATTGATTTAAGTAAGGCATTTGATACCTTAAATCATAACATAATGTTACAAAAATTGAAAAATTATGGCGTACGTGGTATACCACATGACTGGTTTGTTAATTATCTCAGCAATAGAAAACAATTTGTAAGCTTTAAAGGTTTAAGTTCTGAGACAATGCCTGTGGTATGTGGAATTCCACTAGGGAGTATAATTGGTCCTTTGTTATTTCTGATATATATGAATGATATAATTAATACATCTGAATTATTCCATTTTGTTTTATATGCAGACGATACCAACATATTTATTTCACATGCTGATAAAAATACTCTTCAAAATTATGCAAATGTCGAATTAAACAAGATCTCTTGCTGGTTCAAAGCTAACAAGTTATTTCTCAATACTGACAAAACTAAATATATGTTTTTTTGTTCAAATAAGCGCTTCAATTTGATTTTTCGATAAAACTAGATAACCTTGAAATACAAAGAGCGAGCAGTATCAATTTCCTAGGAGTACAGATAGATGATAAGCTAACTTGGGTTAATCACATCAACTCCATTCGTGGAAAGATTAGCATGTCTATAGGTATGTTGAGTAAGCTAAGTTATTTTCTACCGCTCAAAACCCTTTTCACTTTATACAATGCCATTGTCCTGCCTTATTTCGATTATTGTAGTCTTGTATGGGGAGGGGCCAGCTCGTGTCATTTAAACAGGCTACATACTTTACAAAAGAAAGCCATTCGTCTATGCTCAAACTCCCATTATCTTGCCCATACCCCGCCGTTGTTTAAGAAACTGAATATACTAAATTTCTCTGATAATATAACAATTAAAACAGGAGTCTTTATGTACCGTTATTCGATTTTTTTTTTTTGTTACCACCCGTGTTTGATAATTACTTTGCTACAGTTGACAAGAAACATAATGTTAACACAAGACAAAAAAATAAAATTTTCTTGCCATATGCACGTTTAAAGTTACGAAAGGTAAATTCTATTCCACAAAAAGGGGGGAAATTATGGAATAATATTGACAACTCAATCAAACATGTAACCACTCTTATTTCTTTCAAGTCCAAATTTAAGTTGCGTCTTCTTACCACATATATATGACTTTCTATGATACATACAATTACCTTATAAATTATATCGTTCTGTATTATTATTGTGTTTTAGTTTGTAATGTCCTGTATATGTCTTTTGTTTTATTGTGAATTTTAATGTTTTGTATTTTACACATTTGTCATTTATGTTATGGGTCCACCCACTTCTCTCAAGCCATCGGCTTTATCCGGTGTAAATGATCCAGCACAATTCTCAATGTATATATATTGTATGTGATTTTTTATGAAATAATAAATTGAAATTGAAATTGAAATTGAAAATCTTATCTTATCTTATATCTTATGCTCTCAATGAACTTCTTCACTTCTCCACAGAGCCTCGAGCATATAAGTTGCTTCCAATGTTAATGATATTGATAGTCACCATGCAAGCAGGAGCCTACCTACAAGAGCATAATTGATGTGTAGTTAGTATCTTACCTTGATTGGCAGCCCTTGCAGCCTCATCATTGGCATATGGCTTGGGGAAATAATCTGACAGTTTGCCTGGTCTCTCAAACATCTCTCCTTCTTCATCAGGTCCATCTGGAATTTGGAACTGAATACAAGGAAAGAAATTATGAATATGGTCTAATACATCTCCAGGGCTCATATTCATAAACCCTAGTTGTAAGCTAAATATGTACTATAGCCTTTGTAATTAGTTTACACCTAGCTTATAGACCCTGATGTATAACCCATCTTGAATTTCTCACATCTAAAAAAATATATATCCATAGATATCGCTTAGCATTACTATCCAGAGGGTTGCTGAGAATTGCTGAGGTCGTGATAGAAAATAGATCTTAAGACACAAATAGCAGATGGCGAAGACTTTAACAATTATACAAAATGAAATACCTAAACATTGATTTCATTCAAACTAAATGATCAGCAGATAAAGTTACCATCACAAAGTAGTTACAAGTATTGTTCTTCAATAAATCATCTGAAATCCATCCCCTGTTTGTGAACAATGAAAAGACAACATACTAACCACAGCTGAGCAAACAAAGTCAGGCTAGTTGAGAAATATCAAAATATTAGAACTAACCTAACATTCCTCCACATAATGAATTCTTTTCCAGTAATTGACCGTGCTATATCATTATTTCAAGCTAATCACATATATCGAACAGTCCTTGCCAAACTCACCTCCTCGGCTATTGTCTTGGCCTCTGCTTCAGTATGTGTTACTCCTACGAGGTTACGGAAAGCCAGATACTGCATACTGTGACAGGCTGAGCACACTTCTTTGTACACCTGATATCCTCTTCGCAAACTGAGCAATGGATGAAAAATAACATCATCTCATTAAAATGTACTTTAAAACAGATATAGATATTAAAAGTAGGTTTAAGGTTGCACCATGTGAGCGAGGGGGAAGACCTATGTAACACCAAGTGTTGCCTCTAATGGATGGTATTACACAAATAAATTTTTCCTAAAGATGAGGTCATGCACATCACAATAATTCAGCCATCGTAGCAGAACCACTTCCCGAGTAAGCTAAATGAACCAAATCTTCTGAATGGACTTATTCTGACACAAACAAACAAACAAACTCAGGTTAAAATTCCTATGACAGCACCTCTATTTCCCTTGTCAGTACCCTTGTCTGAAAGAACCCATAAATGCTTCTCAGAAGTCACATACTACCAACCTGGCATGGTCAAATGTGCTGAAGACTCCACTGTGAGGCCATATCAGATTAGGCGGATGAATGTCATACTCCTCTGCACTGACTGATATATGAAGGGCAGATACCAGGCCTGTGCTGCCTGCTGCTAATGCACCAAAGGTTACTAGAGCCTGGAATGGAGAGAGGGAAAAAAGGAAAAAGGAAATAATCCAAGTGAGCCTGTCAGAAGCATTAGTACTATCTGGGTACCTGCTCAGAATAAGGTAGTCATCACAGAGAAAGCCAAGTAAACAAGTAAACAAAAGAAACACAAATTTCTGAATTCCCCTAAAATGTTTTTTTATACATGTTGTAAATGCATAAATTCATAGATGAACATATAAACCTATCAAAGTGGGCACCCGGCAACTCCTCTCAAAGAGAACGAGAGAGATAAAGAGAGAAAAGGAATGTTGAAAACAGACCTTGAATTGGACCTACTAAAGGTAATTTACATGGAGAAAAAATTCTACTCATTTTTTTTTCAAAGCCAATGGACGTGTATAATGCAGGTATATTATAAAACGCATACTCACATGCAACAGCAACATTATTAGCAAGACAATCAACAGACAGAGGATGAGATAAGGGGGAAATGGAAAACAGAAAAAGAAAAATACAAGGAACAAAGAAGAAAAGATATATATTTAATGAAGTTTTGTTCTTTCAAAAATAGCAACTTCTTATGAAGTCTGAAATACTTACAGCCTTTTTCGTCCTAGACATGTGTGCAAATCCACTCAGCTTTGCCTGCAACAAAAAAGGGAAATAACTCATTCATCTATAAGATCTAATCATTCTGGGGAGTGTTTCGAAAAGACTAAGATCATCTTTAAGTTGGACTTATCTATGGCAGGCTGTTCATGCCACTGTTTTCTCTAACCATTATGATCTTTAAATAACATTTTTTTCTTCAAAAATGAATTATCAAAAAAGAGACCAATGCCAGTAAATAGTTAGAGCAAACAGTGGCTAAACGGCCTGCCATAGTTAAGTCCATTATTTCATTAACATTTCACATCAGAACGAGGTGTCCAAATCTCAGGTACATGTACATTTCAATATTTTTAGGAATTCAGTATCTGATCTGATTCATGATTTCTTACATAATATGAGAGCTAAAACAACAACAAAATATTTTTTTACGACAAGAACTGCATCCAGGCCAGATCAGTCAATAGCAAATGGAACTCAAACTTTTAGACTACAAAATGGCGAAATCATAAAATAGGGTCCTAGAAGTAGAATAAGGGATTTTAGCTAATTCAAACATTGTGAAAAGGCGTGTGCACAGGGAGTTCAATAAATTCAGCAAGTTCCGGGCATGCGCCTTCGTAAACTACTACTTATCGCAATTATCGTAAAGTTAGTATCAAATTGGGAACGCAAAAAATAATTTTTATGTGTCAGCCCGTGTCTTTGCATTTCAGCCGGAACTAACAGCGAACACTCGTAAGAGGTCAGCGTTTTTATCATGTAAATCATACCTCTACTATCATCAGGAACACATGGAAGGTAAGCCAATCACTATCCCTCCCGTACTGCCATAGCAAAATCTTACATTTCATATTTATTTTTTAGACCGATTTCAAAGTGCTTTTTTTATAAGACTATATATAAGAGTTCGCTAGCGTACTCCAAAGCCACTGAGCACTGTTTGATGGGTTGCGGGGAGGGGTTCTTTTCAGGCGCATTTTAGGTTTTGTTTTACCTGCATCTCTACGCAGGGTATGAGTGCCAGTGAAGTTTTATGACTTTTTTAGTTGCAGCGCGGTCGAAATTTTTAGATCGCGATATCTCTGGAATCCTTCGACGATAAATTTTCTAGTTGAACCAATTTTGTAGTAAAAATCTTTGTCGTCCATTTGGTAATTATTCAAATAGAGTCTAAATAAATTTGTGTAGAATATGAGATATCATAGACTGATCTAGACTAGATCTAGACAGATCAATTCTAAAATTTTCAAAATCTCTGCGAAATTTGGTCACTCTTGTACTTGACACTTGTAGACCCTAGAAGAAGTAGTTTAAGGTGATTGATGAAATACCATAAACATATAGGTCTAGGCCTAGATCTAATGTTCTTTAACGTGATATGAGGGGTTCTGTCTATCGCGTGAAACTGAAAGAAACATTAGCATGATTAGGCCTAGATCTATTTGCCACAAATCAGAGAGACGAGACCAAGCCCGGTGTCATAGGCGATTTGTTCCGTGCAGGCGATCGGTTCCTCCGGAACCGATCGCCTGGATATGTACCCGCCGATTTGTTCCGGATTCGTAGATTCGTTCCGCTAGTCACAGGCGATCGGTTCCGGCCAGGCGATCCGTTCCGAATCTCATCGGAGAGCGTGCGTGCTCACGTATTATTGAATACACGCCATGGTACACCCCTAAAGCAAAATGAACTATTCTGGTCGGCCTTTGCAACCAATCAAACTTCTCCAAATTAGCTACGCCAACGATTGCCAATTTGAGAACTTTGTATAGAAATGCAGATTCCCGTTGTTCAAATATGTTGATAATTGCGGCCAATGATTGACCACAAACAGCGCCGTCGCGAAGCGACGGGGACTGGGTGGTCTAGCAAAAAGGGCAGTTGTTGCCATAGGCTTAGTTTGCCTGTAAAAGCAGATGTCGGGGTGTTTTCTAATCAGGCCTTCTAATTTGGTTTGAATGCTGCTTTATATGATATCGTGTTACGTCAACCACCTATTACCGGGCTTCGATCATCACAGAATCTAATTATGCATGTGGGCTGCATGCATGATGTACATGTAGACTCTAGTTTAAATGAAAGAGATGCGGGGTGGGGTGGGGGGGGGGGGGGGCCGGGGTCAACACAAAAAGAAATGAGTGGTCGAGCTGATAATTAAGAAGGACCAATAAAAATTAAAAAAAAGAAATGAAGAGAAAGAAAATTCCTCAAGTAAAAGACGTGTCCGGCAGAATAAAAAAAAAAGAAATAAAAGAAAAAGCCGACATATTTTGTTGAATTTTCAACCCTTGGTACTAGCCAACGAACTCAAACCAAGTAGAAGGATTGTGTCCGTTCACGTTTCACGCAGCGCAATGGACCGCTCGAGTGCGCCCGCCGCCATTTTGCGTAGTACAGGAAATCGCCTGCGCATACGTATTGTGTACAAGCTCCTATTGCAATTGGAGGAAGGGACGTCCAGAAACCAGGGTTTTATTGTTAGTTTTGGTGAAAAATATCTTTACATATTTTGTTTATGCCCTTTTCCAAGTCCCATACAGATGTTTGATGACTTGAATATTAGAATAAGAGCGGCAGCTTGGACAATAGGGGAGTTGAAATTTTAGGGTTTTTTTTGCATAAAGACTAAAAGAGCTAGACTATTTGTTAAATATCATTTGTGGTATTAGGCTAGTTTTGTCTCTTTCTGTGATAGAAAGAATATATCAAATCATATAGGCTCTATCTATATAAATCACTCCCACTTTCTCTTTACACACACTCGTAAATTCTCAGTCTTTGTGTTTCTCTTCCCACTCCCCCTCTCTCTATCCCCTTCTCTCCCTCCCTCTCTTTTTCTTTCACACTCCCCCTCTCCCCTTCGTTCTCTCTACCCCTTTCTCTACTCCCTCTCTCTTTCTCTCTATCCCCTTCTCTCTCTCCCTCTCTTTTTCTTTCACTCTCCCTTTCTTTCTCTCTTTCTCTCTATCCCCTTCTCTTTTTCTCTCCCCCTTTTTCTTTCACTCTCCCCCTCTCTCTTTTTGTCTCTCTCCCCTCTCTCTTTCTCTATCCCTTTGATTCTTGGCACTGCAGAAGTAGGCCCACTGAATATTAATATTATTTCTTTTCTTTCCCTTTGGAGGCTACCATTTAGCTGCCAGATATTATGTTCATCCCATATAGGCATATTAAAGATTTATCTAAGAAAATTAGTGTTAAGTAATGACACATTGTGGCAACTATTCACATGTCTTTCCACATAATTGTGAATACTTTCATCTTTATTAAGTTTTTTTTGTTAACCTTGGCATTGCGCTATGTATTACATGAATGTATACAGTACATATCAAAACACCCATGAACTATTGCAATGGTGGATATGAAGAAAAAAATCCTCAATGGTGTGGAAAAAACGTTCCTCAAGCAAGCAATCATGGCACATTATGTTTATACCGGCACATTTCTTATTCATTTTAACACACAGAGAAATAATCACATGTACATTTGCATTTGACTGACTACAATGAACAAAAGGCAAGATTTTCTCCCTTTTAGCACTCAAAACTTGAACATACTTCATTAAAAAACTAGACATCAACAAGATATAATACATATGAATCAGTATTTCCCTCTCTTTGGTTTGTTCATGAAGCAATGTATGGATTCATGTGATTTCAGTGAAAACTTTTAAAACAGATTTTTACTCTAGATGAAAGTTGCAACTTTCATTTAGCTCAAGCTCTTTCAGTTGGTAAACATGGATACAACCATTGCAACTACAGTTTGAATTCAATAGTGTAGAATAGATGACACTGCACATTGAACAATAAAATCATTGGACAATATTTTATAACAAAACAGGGATCGTTTGCATACACCGTGAACCTCTGTATACAGATTTTCATACAACATAATGAGTCACTTCCTTATCTAATTTGACGAAACAATTTGTTTGTACACACATGTATGTGGCACTATGCCATCACCGAAACATTATCCATTATCAAGAAACATTTGTAAATAGCTTTGGGAACCATAAGTGATCAGAGTCAAGTTAAAAATACAAAATTTAAAGAAAATCCCTTTCCCTGAAACACGTTGACAATAATCCAGTTTTTTTTAAAAATTTCTTTGATGCCTCTTTCGCAAATTCTAATCTCAAATCTAATTTATGCAATCAGATTCAAACTATACCTAAACCTGTCAGACAGAAGACAGGCTAGTGTCAATAATAGAATCACACAATTCCTTTCTCTCTGGGTAAGCCTAGATGTATAAAACACAGAATAGACCAATAGGGCAAACATCGTAATAAATATCGTATACTATATCCCTGTAGTGCACATTCTGTCATTTCATTGGGAAGGAGAAGATGAAATAGTCTGTTTGAATTAGTATATTTATTTCATCAATGGTGAAATATTATGTAAAAAATACACATAAATAAGATTGACCAATTTTTTACCCTTTTACAGCAGAAATCCTCAAATATTTCAAAATGTATATGTCTTTAAAGATATACATGTACCAGAATAATGGGAGCTTCGCAAAATATTGCCTGGTGTTTTTTGTCTTGATTTGTATTTCAAGTGCTGTGCTTTACTAGGCCATATGAAATCACTACATAATCTACACATATTCATCTGAGGAGTAAGTTTTAGAGGACGTAGGAAGGTTCATGCAGGTAGCTTCCAACTGCCATGACTGACAGGTCGTAACTTTCACAATGACCAACTTTGATGAGTAAAATTTCTTGTGTTTTACAACAATTTAAATGTCCAAATTTAAGGTTTAAATTTTGAGTAAATTCCAGTAAATTTCTTACAATGATGCTTGAAAGTCTGACGAATCACGGGAAATTGTGTCACTATTAATACCAGCGCCGCGATGCAACATGTTCATAAGTTCAAGTTAATCTTCAAAGTAACTTGAACCAAGTTTCACCAAGTCAAACAAAGAAAGTGACCTGCTTATGCCCCAATGATTCCCCCCCCCCCCCAAAAAAAAAAAAAAACAACAACACAAAACAGTACAGTATTCTCTGGATATCATGTATTCGATATTATCGGTTTATAATACTTTGCAGCTCTGTGGAATTCAATATTTTTGATAGTTCATAGCCGATGTCATTGAACTCGAGCGAAAACAGTTCACAAACATGGAAATGAATAGATGGGACCGATGTACAAATACACGCTTTAGTCTGTGGCTTTCTGCGTTCGGATTATCATGCAAAACTGTTTATTTTTGCCATGTTTTTAATGAAGTGATCACTATATGAAAGGTTATTCCAGAGCCTCTTTTAAGGCGATTGGTGCAGTTGAAAGCTGCACAATATGGCATTTAGCAGACGAAAGTTGAGCATACACATAGCACGTAGTCGCAGTTCGCTTTCACAACGCTCGTTCTATCCAAGATGGCGCACGGCGGTGCAATTCAGCGGTCTCGGAAAATCCTTCTACTTACTTGGATTTCGATGGTACTAGCCGACAAAAAATAAATAATATTGGTTTTCATTGCAACAATAAATACAAAAGTATCAAGATAAAGCTAAAATTTATTTTTACCATGTTTATTCGACACAAGTAATAAAAATATACGCGATTATATAAGCAGAAACGTTCGGCCAATGTCGGATAAGAACGGCGGCTTTCGAACGTATCTGCGAACGAGTCGATCCAGTAGATTCGTTCCGAGGAACAAATCGGCGCGCCGATCTGTTCCGCGGAACCCGGAACAAATCGCCTACCACACCGGCCGCGCCGATCCGACGGCCGACCCGGTAGCCGTAAGAAATCTCATTCACACGTACCGTACATTTCCTATGCTACATCGGGTTTACATGCTACACGGCCCTGTTTATTCTTTCATTGTGTCAAGCTCAAGGCCTGAGATAAACTGCTTAAATCAATAACGATTTCATAAATAATGGTAACACATATTGACAGAATCGAATGGCTTCTATCTGCCAAAAACTGTAAATTTCTACCAACCTTGGGGCATAGAATCCCCGAATTCACACGTAAAAGTCCAGACGTTTTCCGTAAAATCGCAGCCATGATTCCTGTAGATTTTCGTAACCGAGCCGGTGTTTACCGTAATAGCATATCATGGATCTGTGGTTGAGGACGGGATTCGTTACCAAACAGAAATAATACAAAAATAACGTATAAGATACAATTAATTTCATGGAAACCCCCCAAAAAGTTATACCTATATTTCCAGATTTATTTTTATTAATTAAAGTGAATTTCTTAATTTTTTATTTTAATTTAAAGAAGGAATTCGAATTTTCTTGAATTTATTAGCATTATGGGTAATATACAAATACATGTAATAAGATAGAGGTAATCAAGTTAGATAATGCACGTATTTCAAGATGGCGCTATATAGGTATTTGCCGCATCGCGATATCAGATCTCTATGATTTGCCTTTTCTTCTTCTTCTTCTGATTAAAGTCTGCCTCCTTCTTGCAAACTATGTGCGTGTGTCTGTGTGTGTTAACCGCAATTCACGTCCATTCGAGTGCTCTGTTTACAGTTTATTTACAAATATTTACAAGTTTATGTATAGTAAATGATCTCTGATGATGATAATAATAATGATAAAAATATTAATGGATTACTTTGTTTTAATGAATCACATGTATAGAACAAGAGGGAGAGAACATTTAATGCTACGATTGCCTAAGTGTAGTAAGACACGTGGGACTTTTTCAATTTCTTTCATTGGAGCAAAGCTGTGGAATAATTTGCCCATAAATATAAGAGAAGAAAAAACAAGATCATCATTTCGTCAAAATCTCAGAATTAAACTCCTTAGCAGAGATGAATCATAAGGATCAAATAATATGATATTAGGAAAAATAAATGTTAATATGACTTTGCATACAGTTTTAGATATTCGGAGAACCAATCCCGACTAGCACTCGTGCTAACTTTTGGTTCTTCCTTTAACAACATTTTTTAAGTTACTTTTTAAGATTAAGAATATGCTTTATTTGAATCACTTATACGTTATTGGAACTCTGTGAATTTCAATTCCAGCCACAAATCTCTACATATTATTAAGTTATAGCTAATTCACAGGTTTGATATGACATGATATATGATTAACTTAATTTGTATGGTTCAACTATAGATATTTTCTTTTTCTTTGTAACCCATGTACATGGATATGTATACAACATGTTATTTTGTTACCCACTTGAATACATTTTGTAACATTGTGTTATGTTGTTGTTAATAAATTCAAATTCAATTCAAATTCAAAATAATAATAATACTATTGTCAAATTCTATACGCAATCGTACTTTTTCAATAGTGTTGTAAGTCCATTTATTTATTCTATTTTCTTATATCATTCCATTATGTCGAAACGATTTATATCCGTGTTTCCATATGAATATGTCATTGCACATTTGCTACTGTGTATTATCTATTTGTGTATATTATTTTCTATTGTATATTGTTCATGTGCTTTATGTAATGCCAATAACTGAATTTCCAAATGGACCAATAAAATCAATCTGAATGTGAATCTGAATAATTATGTTGCCTCACAGATAGCTAGAGATAACATTTGCTTTTTTTTCCTTGTAAATTGTTGTTATTTGTGATATCCCCGAACAAAATCATTATGCTAATTATTCTTTTTACGACATTGATTGACTTTAATCTTTTGCTTTCCTACTGATTTCAAAGATAGTATAGGCCTAAGTTGATTTTTTGTAAAATATGTGAAAGTAGAAATACGGCAGTAAATTTGTGGAACGCATTAAATGAAAATAAAAGAAATCATATTTATCATAAAATTATTATTGATCGCCATCCTTATACCCCCGGGAGAGGGGGGGGGGCCTCTCATGCATACACAAGTGCTACCCACCCGTATCCATTACCTCTAATGGACCCTAATGTCGTATCGCACCTTTTTTTTTAAAAATCTTTAAGAAAACTTTGAAACCTGTTAGCCTAAAAAGGTACCTGGGGGAGGGGGATCATGGTGTGTGATCAGCGCTAGCTTGAACACTCCTTGGTTTTTGTGCCCGGCCCCATTTTTTTATTAAAGGAAATCGTCGAAGACGCCGAACCTGTGAACCTAGCTGAAAAGTTATCTTTTTTTGGGGGGGGGGGGCGTTATAGTACAAAAAATGGGCCCCCGTCTTATGAGTTGTGATCTCCAAATCAATCACATCCTCCAATCAATCGCAACTTTGCAGTCTCCTATTATATCTGTTATACATAGTTGTGATTGATATCAATCGCAAATAAGTTAGAGGTGCGTAGCTAACCATGATGAGAGTGCCCCCCCCCCCCCCCGCGACCACTCGGGGCTTATATACACTGTTTCCCATAAAGTTAATAATTTTTGTTTTACCTATATAGTAATAACGAAGTGATTGGGAGTTTATGATTTAATTGTTATCAATAAAGCTTATATCTTCTCAGAACTTTTTCGACCAATCTAAAGAGTTATTAAGATTGATCAATAAAGGTCCGGAAATTAAGTTAGAAACATTAATTATAATAGAAAAATCATACCCCATGTTGAGGTATTTTTTGCAAAAAAAGCGACCCATTAGAGAAGAAGAAGAAGAAGAAGAAGAAGAAGAAGAAGAAGAAGAAGAAGAAGAAGAAGAAGAAGAAGAAGGAGAAGCAGAAGAAGAAGAATAGAAGAAGAAGGAGAAGCAGAAGAAGAAGAATAGAAGAAGAAGAAGAAGAAGAAGAAGAAGAAGAAGAAGAAGAAGAAGAAGAAGCAGAAGAAGAAGAAGAAGAAGAAGAAGAAGAAGAAGAAGAAGAGGAGGAGGAGGATTCAAGATTCAAGATAATTTATTGTCTGATTTTAAAAAATACAGAAATTCGTCCTCCACTGGCGAGTGACGTACATACATGTATACAAACAACATTAGCAATATATAAATACATTCGAGGATACCCAAACAAAGAAAATACAACAATAATAATAATAACAATAATAATAGCAATGATAGCATTAACAAAAGCTGACATATAAACTTGAAAACTGACATTTAAAAATGAATCTTGATAATGCACAGAATGCATTGAATAAATGAATTTATAAGTGCTCTGAGACATTCACCCCTTCTCTCCCAGAAAGGGGTATGAGGAGAGAGAGAGAAGAACAAATGAGAGAGAGAGAGAGAGAGAGGGAGGAGTCGAATGGAGTAGAACAGAAAGGAAATGTGAGGGAGAAAGAGAAGGAGGAAGAAGAAGAAGAAGAAGAAGGAGGAGGAGGAGGAAGAAGAAGAAGAAGAAGAAGAAGAAGACGACGAAGAAGACGAAGAAGACGAAGAAGAAGAAGAAGAAGATTTATCCCAAGCTGTCATGCTGAATTCGAACTGTCTAGGTCAAGCTTGCATTCTGTGTCGTCCTTAACATGTCATGAAATGATCTCTTTTCATTCTCTGTCCAGTAGTTATGTCCACAATTGTCATTTTGTCTTTAATAAACTAAATTAATTCAGCTTCATCACAGAGGCGCCCCCCCCCCCTCCCCCACACACACACATTTCAGTACCCCCAAAGTTGAATTGAATTGAAATTTATTTCCATCATCATATACAAAGATAAAATATGGAATTTCATAACATGTAACAATATCAAAATTACATATAAATTGACATAACAGCATTCAAAACATAAATGGAAAATGGTGCATCCGTAAAAGCCAGGAAGACTTGACAATTGAATGCACCATGCGCAGAAGTAATAATAACATATACTTGAGGGGGGGAAAAAGAGGTAAAAAGGAGTATTAGTAATATAGGTGTGGTCTTAAAAAAAAATTATGCGTTATAAGGAGAGAGAAGATGTTTCTTGTAAAGTCTTTTGAAAGAATTATTAAATCCGACAGATTGTAAAAATGGAGGTAGGGAATTCCACATTTTACTTCAGATAAGCACCCTTGGTCTTTCTAATTGCCCATCCCCCTTTTCACCTCTGATATAGAAGTGCCTCTATTCAATCTACCTCTAACTCTTATCAAGTGCTCCTTCATGTGCAAGAAATGACCCTTTTCTCTTGTTATTAGAATGATATCGTGTCCCATTTCACCTCTGATAGGTTCCCCTTTTACTTTTACACGTGCCCCTATAATTCCCCTTTCTTATAAATGCCCCTTTCTCTGATGAGTGCCACTATGTAATCCTTGAACCCCGTCACCGGTCGGTTAGCTTGACAAATCTTGAAGAGTCAGTGTCTTCAAGAATCTTAAGCTTAACAGTGACAAATCTGAATTACTTCACATCACATCTCAGTTTCGTAAACCCTTGCCCTTGCCAGATTTTTTTTTAGATGACACAAAATTGTGTACCTCTGAATCGGCCAAAAACCTGGGTGACTGTTACCATACTGCTCTCAATATGAAGGCTCACATAAGGAAAGTATTTAAAGCTGCATCTTATGGTATCCACAAAATTGGTAAAATTAGTAAATTTTTAGATAAACCCACTACAGAACGACTGATTCATGCATTTGTCACTTCCCACTTAGACTACTGTAATGGCCTCCTTGTTAATTTGCCACCCTCAAACCTTGCTCCTCTTCAACGTATCCAAAATGCCGCCGCTCGTCTAGTTACCCGCTCAAGACCTTATGAACATATTACTCCAATCCTCCGCAATCTCCACTGGCTGCCAGTTGTTGTTGTTGTTTTTTGTTGTAATGGCAATCAGTCAAGACCTGACTATTATCACCAACGCCTTTCTTTTTAATATTAATTTCTTTCTTTCTCTTTTTTTTTTAATTAGAGTATCAAAAATAAACATTAAATATAGGCTTCTCTCTTTTCTTTTTTTTTTCTCCTTCTTTTCCCCCTTAAAATGAAATGAAAGAGAAAATAGATGAAGAAAAAAATAAAAATACGACAAAATGTAGATTTTTGTATCCTGTAGGTTACCGCGTAGTCCTGTCCGTTCTAAGACACCGTCCAGACACCGTCCTGTCTCTCGGGTGTAGACAGGGGGCTCCCTTTGGGAAAACATTAATAATCTGGAAACTCGAAAGAAGAAAGTAATTGATCAACAATTTTAAAATCAAGAGGGTACTTTTCCGGGGAAATTGGCTTTGAGCGACTTCGCAGACTTTAATAAACCTTCGATT